GCGTGTGGGAGGGTTTGCAGTCCCTCCTTTCCACCCTTTTACACCCGTTCCGCCCCGTTTCCACCCCTTTCCACCCCTTTCCGCCCCTTTCCGCCCCTTTCCGCCCCTTTCTGTGTGCCATGCAGCTGCTGTGGACGTGGCCCAATGGTATGTCGACACGCGGGCAGACCTGGAAGAGCGCATTCATGTGAGTACATGCACGCTGACGTGTGGTGTGTGTGTGACATGCCTGTGCCGTGCGTGTGCCGTGCGTGTGCCATGCATGTGCTCTGCGTGTGCCGTGTGTGTACGCGGGCAGACTTGGAAGAGCGCGTCCATTTGGGTACATGCATGCTTGCGTGTGCTCTGTGTGTGCTCTGCGTGTGCCTTGCATCGCATATGGCATTGCCCGCACTTTCTATTTCCTTTCCCAGTCTTACCCATTCTCTCCCCCTTCATTGTATTCCTTTCTCGCTCCTTTCTCCTTTCTCCTTTATCCCTTCTCCCTTGTTTCTCCCAAGCAGAAGTTCAACCAGCCGGCATCAGACCGCCTCCTCCCGGACCTGACACCTCAGGAGGCCCACGTGTACACGCTTGTGCTGGATTTAGAGGGTACCCTTGTGCACTCCGAGTGGAAGAGGGATCGTGGCTGGCGCACGTTCAAGCGGCCGGGCGCAGAGGCGTTTCTGGAGAGGATGGCGCAGTTCTTCGAGGTGGTGGTGTTCTCCGACCAGCTCAACCTGGTGGGTGCAGTGTGGCTGAATCTGAGCATAAACAGCCCCCCCCGGGGAGTGTTTCTGGGGTTTTCCGGCATCAGGTACGGGGGAGCAGAGGCGTTTCTGGAGAGAATGGCGCAGTTCTTCGAGGTGGTGGTGTTCTCAGACCAGCTCAACCTGGTGAGCCGGATTGGTTACTACACAGCACAGCACAGCACAGCACAGCACAGCACAGCACAGCACAGCACAGCACCGCACCGCACCGCACAGCACAGCACAGCACAGCACAACACCGCACAGCACCGCACAGCACAGCACAGCACCGCACAGCACCGCACAGCACAGCAGAGGCGTTCACGCCAGCAGCGCTCCTGGGGCTTCCTGGGCGCTCCTGAGGCGCTCTGGCACCAGGAAGGGGCGAGCAGAGGCGTTTCTGGAGAGAATGGCGCAGTTCTTCGAGGTGGTGGTGTTCTCGGACCAGCTCAATCTGGTGAGTTGAGATGCGGGTTTTTGTGGGTGTTTTTAGGCGCTTGTGGGAGTGAAGTGGCCTCCCTGGTAGTGTTTCTGGAGAGGATGGCGCAGTGCTTGGAAGTGGTGGTGTTCTCGGACCAGCTGAACCTGGTGAGTTGAGATGCGGGTTTTTGTGGGTGTTTCTAGGCGCTTGTGGGAGTGAAGTGGCCTCCCTGGTAGTGTTTCTGGAGAGGATGGCGCAGTGCTTGGAAGTGGTGGTGTTCTCCGACCAGCTGAACCTGGTGAGTTGAGATGCGGGTTTTTGTGGGTGTTTTTAGGCGCTTGTGGGAGTGAAGTGGCCTCCCTGGGAGTGTTTCTGGAGAGGATGGCGCAGTGCTTGGAAGTGGTGGTGTTCTCGGACCAGCTGAACCTGGTGAGTTGAGATGCGGGTTTTTGTGGGTGTTTCTAGGCGCTTGTGGGAGTGAAGTGGCCTCCCTCGTAGTGTTTCTGGAGAGGATGGCGCAGTGCTTGGAAGTGGTGGTGTTCTCGGACCAGCTGAACCTGGTGAGTTGAGATGCGGGTTTTTGTGGGTGTTTCTAGGCGCTTGTGGGAGTGAAGTGGCCTCCCTGGTAGTGTTTCTGGAGAGGATGGCGCAGTGCTTTGAAGTGGTGGTGTTCTCGGACCAGCTGAACCTGGTGAGTTGAGATGCGGGTTTTTGTGGGTGTTTTTAGGCGCTTGTGGGAGTGAAGTGGCCTCCCTGGTAGTGTTTCTGGAGAGGATGGCGCAGTGCTTGGAAGTGGTGGTGTTCTCGGACCAGCTGAACCTGGTGAGCTGAGATGCGAATATTTGTGGGTGTTTTTAGGCGCTTGTGGGAGTGAAGTGGCCTCCCTGGTAGTGTTTCTGGAGAGGATGGCGCAGTGCTTGGAAGTGGTGGTGTTCTCGGACCAGCTGAACCTGGTGAGTTGAGATGCGAATATTTGTGGGTGTTTTTAGGCGCTTGTGGGAGTGAAGTGGCCTCCCTCGTAGTGTTTCTGGAGAGGATGGCGCAGTGCTTGGAAGTGGTGGTGTTCTCCGACCAGCTGAACCTGGTGAGTTGAGATGCGGGTTTTTGTGGGTGTTTCTAGGCGCTTGTGGGAGTGAAGTGGCCTCCCTGGGAGTGCCGCAGCTCTTCGAGGTGGTGGTGTTCTCAGACCAGCTCAACCTGGTGAGACTAGGTGGTGGGATTACAAAAAATGAGGCGAGTCTGGTTGGTGCATACGTTTGGTTGGTCCAAGGCACCATCACATGTGTGTAAGCAATGCAATTCTTACTCTTTTCCTCCCTTCGTTGCCCACCTGTTTCAGTCAGTCGACCCCATGACCAGCTGGACCAGAAGGGGTGCATTTGCTACCGCTTGTACCGGGATGGAGCACTCTACACCGATGGGAAAAATCCATTTTTGAGTCGACAAAAGGAAATCGACTTATCGCACACCGCTTGTACCGGGATGGAGCACTCTACACCGATGGGAAAATCCTCTTTTTTCTGCTCCTGTTCCGCTCATTTCCCCCTCTCCCAGTCTGTCATACCCATATTGGACCGGCTGGACCAGAAGGGGTGCATTCGCTACTGGCTCTATAGGGATGGGACCCTCTGCTGATAAGATGATCTTCCCTTTCTCACCTGCCGTCCCCTGTTCCCCCTCTTGTCTGTGCCCCCTTCCAGTCAGTCGACCCCATATTGGACCGGCTCGATCAGAAGGGGTGCATTCGCTACCGCTTGTACCGGGATGGGACACTTTACACTGACGGGAACTATGTGCGGGTATGTACTGTTTCCACCCTTGATAAAAGAATGTGGGCAGTGTTTTGCCCTCCACATTCAATACAGTGTTGGGGTCCTCAACAGTGATGGGAACTATGTGCGGCTTGTATGGTTTTCTGCATCAACTCTCTTCCGCACTCAATACTCCCCTTCCTTCCTCTCGCCCTCCTTTCCATGCCCTCCCATGCCCTTCCGTCTCCCATCAGGACCTATCCATCTCAACAGGGATCCCAAACAAGGTCATCTACATCAGCTTCCTGCCAGAGTCTGTGCTACAGAGGGCGTTTCACGCATGGCAACTCCTCGCTATCCCTGCTGCCGTTTTTCCCTCCCATTCCCACCCAGGACCTATCCAAGCTGAATCGTGACCCAAACAAGGTCATCTGCATTAGCTCTCTGCCACAATCAATGCTCCCCTCCCTCCATTTCATTCCTCTCCTCCCCCTCTCCATCAGGACCTTTCAAAGCTCAACCGTGACCCAAACAAGGTCATCTGCATCAGCTCTCTGCCACAATCAATGCTCCCCTCCCTCCATTTCATTCCTCTCCTCCCCCTCTCCATCAGGACCTTTCAAAGCTCAACCGTGACCCAAACAAGGTCATCTGCATCAGCTCTCTGCCAGAGTCGGTGCTTCAGAAGGAGCCTTAAGTCACCTTCCAAAGCACTCCCTGTCTTCTTTCCTTCTCATCCTCTCTACTTGCTGTCATCCCCTCATTTCGCCACCATACCAGGACCTATCCAAGCTGAATCGGGATCCCAACAAGGTCATCTACATCAGCTCTCTGCCAGAGTCCGCACTGCAGAAGGCGTTTCACGTGGCTCAGTGCCCTCCCTAATCCCTCTCTCTCCCCCTTTTCCTTCTCCTTCTTCCCTTCTTCTCCCTCTCTTCACCAGGACCTATCCAAGCTGAACCGCGACCCAAATAAGGTCATCTACATCAGCTCTCTGCCAGAGTCAGTGCTGCAGAAGGAGAATCTCGTCCCTCTATCTGCGTGGAAGGACACAGGCGCAGACACGGCACTGCTGGACCTCCTGCCCTTCCTTGAGTGTGAGTGTTGGTGCTTTGGTATTTTGGTCGATGCTTCAGGAGGTCAACTCTGTCGCACTCTTTGTGTGGAAGGAGAGTGTCATTCCCCTAATGGCATGGAAGTACTCAGGTGCAGACACAGCACTGCTGGACCTCCTTCCCTTCCTTGAGTGTGAGTGCTGGTGTGCTACACTAGTTCAGTTGGTGCTGCAGAGGAACCTTCTGCCGTTCCTCGAGTGCAAGTGTCGGTGCTGTGATTCCCTACCACTACTCACATAGAAGGGCATGGGAGCTGCTGACACAGCACTTCTGGACCTAGTTGACTTGAGTCGATTGAAAAGTCACCTCGTTACAATGGTACACGCCGCATGGAAGGGAACGGGAGCAGACATATCACTTCGGGACCTCCTTCCCTTGCTCGAGTGTGAGTGTTGGGGTGATTTTCTAGTTTGGTCAGTGCTGTGAAAGGCCAACTTTGTCTGTCTGCCCCAGTTGGTGCTTCAGAAGGAGAATCTCATCCCCCTATCGGCATGGAAGGGCACGGGAGCAGACATATCACTTCTGGACCTCCTTCCCTTGCTCGAGTGTGAGTCCACAGCAAGGCTCGCTTTAGAGGAACTTTAATCCCCCTCTCGTGACGCAACAAGGACGCAGGGGCTTTTTGAGGTGCCTCACGAGTCACTCTTGTAATCCGCCCCTTGTTGCTCAATCCCCTCCCCAGGTGTGTCGCCGCAGCAGCTGGTGGACAGTCGGGTGGTGTGGTGCTGCAGTCGTATGAGGGGAAGACATGTGTTGACTCTGTTGACTTTGTTGACTTTGTTGACTTTGTTGACTTTGTTGACTTTGTTGACTTGCTTGACCTTCTTGACCTGCAATATCCCTTTGTTCGATTCCCAGGTGTGGCACGGCAGCGGCCGGCAGGCATTCAGGTGGTGCTGCAGTCGTATGAAGGGGGGGATCTCCGTTGACTTTCTTGACCTGTAGTCTCACCCTATGTTACTCGATCCCCAGGTGTGGCGCGGCAGCGGTCGGCAGACATTCGGGTGGTGCTGCAGGTGTATGAGGGGCAGAACATGTGTTGACCCTGTTGACTTGCTTGACCTGCTGTATCACCGCTGTGTTCCTCAATCCCCAGTGTGGCGCGGCAGCGGCCGGCGGACATTCGGGTGGTTCTGCAATCGTATGAGGGGCAGGACATGTGTTGACCTGCTTGACCCTGTTGACTTGCTTGACCCTCTGACTTGCAATATCACCCTCTTATTGCTTAATCTTCGCAGGTGTGGCACGGCAACGGCCGGCAGACATTCGGGTGGTGCTGCAGTCCTATGAGGGGCAGGACATTCCCACTGCCTTTAAAGAGCGCTCCAAACTCATGCAAAAGTGAGTGTAGCTGGTCTTTTAAAATACTAGTTTTGAGGCGCTCACAAGTCGTATGAGGGGCATGACATCCCCACGGCCTTTAAAGAGCGCTCCAAACTCATGCAAAGGTGAGTGTAGTTGGTCATTCATAAAATTATTTTTTAGGGGGCCTAAAAAAATATTTATGAGGGGCAAGATATCTACACGGCCTTCCAAGAGCGCTCCAAACTCATGCAAAAGTGAGTGTAGTTGGTCTTTCATAAAACCCAAGTGGCTATCTTAGCTACAGTGCAAGACTTTCAGTTCATGTACTCTTCTGCTACCATAGTTAAGCTGCCCAGATTTTTGTCATTTTTGTGTGACGTGTCTTGTGTCTATCTACAGATTTCACTGCCACCCTTGTGTCGCTTCCCTCAACTTCAGCTTGCCACTTTTTGATATCGTTTGTTTGTGGGATGCTTTCAGGCAACTTCAAGAGAGGAAGCAGCATGGGATTTTCCGGTTTGCAAGGGGTGGTGGTGGATCCTGAGGGTGACTGAGAATTTGCGGGGGAGGGCTCTGTGTTGAAGTGGAGGGTAATGTAGGCTAAGAAAATGAAAAAATGGCACCCATTGGTGTTGTTACCGTATCAGTCGAGGATGCCGGTTGCATTGCTGTTGCTAGAGTAAGAATCTTGGATGGAATAGGATTGCCTTAGAGAGTTTTGGTAGCGGAAGACTTGTGGTAGGAACCTTGTGCATAGTGGATGTAAATGAGAAGATTGATTAGAAGGATAAAATACACACAATAAATAGATCTAGCTAGCAATGTACTATGAGGGGTACATTCCCTTATTCTGACAGTCTTACAGACCAGGGCCTCAGATTCGTTTGGGGGTACACTGAGGCCTCAGGGCAGTTTTTAGGAAATCAGAATTTGCCCTGAATTGTCAGGGCTGCACAGGGTGAGGTATCCTGAAATGCCAGTGCTACATTGAAAATACAATTTAATATTAGTGATAAATTTCGTGACAGGTGAATTGGGTAGCGGGCAAAGCGACAATGCCTTACGGTAGAGGTCTCCAGCTCGATTCCAATTGGTTTCTGTGTTTGCGGTATTCGCGCTTAGTACTTTTGGCCCCGAAACCTAGGATATTTTTCGTACAGTACATCTCGCTTCAGAGCGAGATTCGACACTATCCTGACTCATCAGGGATGAACCTACAGCCTTATCCTGAGTTTCCAGTACGCAAAATAACCGTTATACTGAAATTACAGGACAATTATTCCTGTTATGCTGTTTTTCCAGGACTAGCACACGACACCTATCCTGAATTCAGGAGAATCAGGATAAATTATCCTGATAACTGAGGCCCTGTTACAGACAATTCTACAGCGACTCTGATTAATGCTCTTCTTCTTGATACCGTCGTTGCGTGTAACCATACAAACAGTTACGCCTGTTGCCATTCCTTGCTGGTGAGTCAATCGGCCCAGATGGTCAACAGTCGCGACAGTTGACCTTCGCGAATGTTGACCTTCCTGCCCTTGTTACAGGCTGATCCGATACTGCTGCGGGTGCTGCTTCAATAGTAACGGGTGCGATACAGCTGCACCTACGGGAATGCTAAACTCAATTCCCTTCATACTCCAACACTCCCCTTCATTCCTGGAGGTGCGCCACGTGGCTCTTTCGGACGACTCCGCACAGGTCCGAGCAGTACTGGAACTTCTGACGTGGCAATTTCTTCTTCAGAAAATCAGCTGCCATTTCACCAGTTGGGCAATAGGTGAGTTGGACCTTCCCTTAGTCGATTTCGTCTTTGATGAAGAAGTAACGCAGGGCAATCTGTTTCGTGCGTTTGACAAAGCCGGGTTTATTCGCGACCTTGATCGCATAGTAGCTTTAATGACCCGTTCATCGCCGTCTTCGTTTCCTGTAGGAGCTCCGTGAGATAGAGTCCTTCGCGAACTACTGCACTCGCTGCGATGAATCTGCTTATACTGGCGAAAGGCCGATGAGCTCCTGTTTCTGTGAGTTCCAGGAGATGGTTCCTGCAGGTTCAAGCTTGAAAATGAAGCCTGCGCGGGTCCTTTTGTTGTCTGCGTCCCCAGTGTGATCAGCGTCGTCGTAGCCAGTGAGCTGTAGGTTAGCCGTTAGGTTCGCTTGGTAGGTGAGGCCGACGTTGGGAGAGACGAAGTACTGTAGGGCGCGTCGCAGGTCCGCCATATTCTCCCTTTCAGGTCGGCGCAGGTACTGGGCGAGCTGGCAGGCGATGTAGGACAGGTCAGGGCGGCATGTGACGGCGGCGAAAATTAGACACCCGAGCTGCTGCTGATAGAGGCGATGGTCGGCAGCGGACAGGGGGGTAGTGTCGGGCTCGTGGTTAGGAGGAGGTTGTCAGAATGTTATAGTGCTTACATTTGTGTAGGCTATAGTGGGGTAGCCCATAAGGGGTACAACTCAATTAGGGTTAGAACTTGTACCCAACTCTTGCATAGTTCATTCATTCTTGTTGGTTATTCTGACATGGTTTCAGAGCAGGTCCTCCGCTAGGACCGTTTTTTTTTTTGGGCCCACCACAGTGCTACCCCACTAGCCGCCCCTGGCGACCCTCGTGCCGCACCTACTGCCCCTAGCGCCGGCCTCGTGCGGCTTGCCCGTCGCCCCTAGGCCCCGGCCCGTTGCCCGTCGCCCCGGCCCGTCGCCCGTCGCCCCGGCCCGTCGACCGTAGGCCCGTCGCCCCTTGCCCCGGCCCGTCGTCCCTAGGCCCGTTGCCCCGGCCTGTGTTTAGGGTTGATGCCTCCCTGACTGGATGCATGCCCGAATGAGTTATATTTTTTTGCCTGCGGGCAGCGAGCTCCCCCGGGCGGACTCGCTTGTCCGCTGAGATATATTCGGAGGTTCATCGGTTACTGTAACAGTCCTTAGAGAGAGGAAGTGAAAGGGGCACTCATCAGTAAAATACACAATGGAAAACATTGTTTGCAAAACTCTTATGGAAAATAGTCACCTTGTGAGCCTTGTATATATTGTAATTGAGTTGACCTTCCAAATTTACACAATCACACTGCATTTTGAGTGGCAAACCATGGCTCCATTTGGTTCATTTGTCGTGTATTCGTCTCCAACTGGACTCTACAGCAACAAGTGGGGAGCTAGCTGGGCGGTGCCCCCGTATTCCTCCCTACACCACAAGAATCACCACCACCTGGCACACTTGCAGATGGAGGCATGAGCGTGACTTGGCCCGTTACAGTATCCAGATGTGGGATGCCAGCATTGACCTGCTGCGCTGGAGTGGGGTCATCATGGTGGAACAGCTGGAGAATCATTTTGCTCAGCTAAAATCAATGCACTCGTCTGTTACTGTACAGTATACAGTAAACGTGTGAACTGTATTTTAACAGAAACTTTCTTTCCCAACCACGGATTTTTGGCCTCCTGCGCACACCACACAGCCCTTCACTGCACTTGCATGAAATGCCAACTGGTTGCATCTAGGGTTCCGGACCTGGACAATGATTCACCCTTTCTACACAGAATGTTATAAAAGGCGTAGTACTCAAGGAATTGCAGGAGTTTCTGGATGACGGGAACGCAGCCAGTGCTGTCAGACTCACAGATCGTTCACACTAGATAAAGTGTTTACGGACCTTATGCCCCATGATTTTTCAGATGACATGGAATGGGAAAATGTATGATTTGACCCCGCCCAATACAGCGGATGGATCCATGATTCTCAACTGATTTGTGATTGCGTTCCAGTTGCTCAGCTGTCGTCCAGTCAGCATTTCGCAAATTTCCAGCGAGTTCAGTGACCTGGCAAGCAAGTCCTTGCACGCATCTCATGCACCAAGAACTTGACTCTGTTCACTTGACAATTGGAACATGTTTGGGCCAAGTCTCCCAACACTTGACCCAAACCGGACTGACATCAGTGACGACTTCCCAGCCAGCCCACAGTTCAGCAGAAGGTCAGCGAAACTACCCAACACCCCAGCGAGAGGAGGAATGCCTGAGCTAACGTAGGCAAGGTTTCATGTTTGATTGGTATTAGAAAGAGCAGGGAAAAACTCTTACAAGTAAATGGTCGGAGGGTGGTGGAGTCAGGGTAATGAATGGTGTTGCTCTGATAAGCGGGTCAAACAAAAAAACAAATCCATAAACCCTAGTCGCGCCCCCGAGAGGCGAGATCGTGACATCATCCTTATCGCATCAAATCATTCACCTTGCCCAGCTGGTCCGCGTGCGATGCGAATTAATGTGGTGGAGGAGACTGCCAAGAAGAATTCCCTCAAAATCCGGGATTCCCGTCCACATAAGCCACACAAATCTTTTGTCCAGGTGCATAAGCGGTGCGGGAGCAACCAACTGCGTGCGAGTCAAACCTCGGATATTCAGTGCTGCTTCACTTGTTAAAGCCGTGGCCCAACTATCAACTTCAACTTCAAAGTATTATAGCTTGGAAGAGGTTGACCCAGGCAGTTCAGAGCCGAGAAGTTTGTCCTCTTCTGGTTTTCCAGTTTTTTCGTCCAATAGAATTCAAGTTACTCACATGCCATTTTTGTCCCCCTACTGTTCCTAAGAAGTTGCACCCCGCCTTTAACCAAAACAGCAAAGGTGTTACACTGGCTCGTCCCATCGTATGAATTACGTATAACAACAAAACCGAATTAGCATTATGTAGACGTGCAGTCAGGAAAGGAGTGAACTTGAGCAGCATGAACCCAACAAGCGAAGCAGATTGTAATGAAGAACATTTCGTGTGTAAAGCACCAAAGATGTCACTTCCAGGAAAGTATACCACTACAAACAGTGTAATACGCCACATAAGGAGCACTAAGCAATACGGCATGAGGTGCTAACTCAACTGGATGAAATGTAAATAAAAACAGAAACTATCTTGCTTTCACCGGCCAAAGATCATCCTGGTACTACTCTGCCCCTGTCTGCTTACCATTAGGCCGCACCAATGTAAGACCATCCCCAGTCTCCCCCACATCACCAGCACTGTCACCTGCTCCAAGCGTCTCATCGCATTTCCGCTTCCCCAAAGTTCCATTACTTTCAGCACCCCCCTGTGTCTTCACACTATCCTGCCCGACCTGCCCAGCCTGCCCAGACTGCCCGACCAACCTTTGCCGAGTATCATTCACCCCCTCTTTAGAATCAGAATCCGAATCTGAATCTGTTCCAGAATCTGAGCCAGATTCATCAAGAGTCTCTCCATCGGTGGTGTAATGAAACACTGTATACTCCTTTTCTGTCCGCTCCTTCCGCTCCTTCACTTTTGATACCGATACATCCCCTGCTGCTTTCCCTGCTCCCGCCACGGTCCCTGACGATGCCAGCAGACCCACCTCTGGAGTACTAGAAACAACGTTACCTGCTACTGAGGCTGTAGCGGCAGGGACAGATGGAGTAGCAGTAGCAACAGGGGTTGTCGCAGCAGCAACGGGGGCTGTGGCAGCAGCAACAGTGGGTGAAGAAGCAGAAGCAGAGGCGGTAAGAAGAGCAGCTGACCCTCCACTCACAACAGCCCCATTCTGCTTCTCACTGCCAACACCATTGGTAGAGCTGTTACTGGCACTGGTGCTGCTACCGACTGTTGATTCAGCTGCTGCTGCTGCTGCTGCTGCTGCTGCTGCTGCTGCTGCTGCATCTACTGCCTCTGTTGCTGTAGGGTCCTCTGCTTGTGCTTCTTCTGCTTCTGTTTCCGCTTCTGCTTCTGCTTCTACTTCTACTTCTTTTGCCGCAAGTGGTGCCACCGCTTCTGCTGCGGTTACGGAGTCTGTGAGTAAGGTTGTCACATCAGCCCCTGCTCCTGCTGTATTAGCGCCTGTTACTGCTGCCGTCATACCTGCTCCTGCTTCTCCCTCACTCACATCCCCCTCAGCTTGTGTCTTCTTTGCAACGGCCTTAACTTCTGAAGTGTCCCCTCCTCCTAAACTCTCTCCTGAGACTGCTCCTAAACTAGCAACCTCTGCACCCCTCTCAACCGTTGGAGACTCAGATGCCTTCACATCTTCCCCACCTCGCCCCTCACCACTCTTCTCCACCCCACTCCCTTCCTCTCCACTCCCTCCCACCGCTCCTGCCTTCCTATCCATAGCTTCCAGAATCAACCTCTCATCCTCATCCTCATCTGATTCTTCTTCCCCCCACTCCTCAGCATCCCCATCCTCTCTCTCCCCCTCGGATAGCTCGGAACTTAGTTCCCCCACCTTTCTTTCCTCCTCTTTATCCTCCCCCATCCCATCCTCCTCCCCAGAAACCTCAGCACCCCTCACTCCCTCCCCTTCCTCCTCCCCTATCTCCTCCCCTTTTTCTTCTAATATCCCTCCCAACACACTCCTAAACTGACCTTCCACCTTCCTCACCTCTACCCCCTCCTCCCTCCTCCTCCTCCTCCTTCCATCCTCCTCCTCTCCCTCGCTCTCTGTGTCCCCAGAATGCCCTGCAAAGGCTTCAGGTAGTTCCCCAGGTGCCGCCTCTGTTTCAACCACCTGAACAGGTGTTCCTGCAGGATAGGCATCCAGGATAATATCGAGATCCGACCCTTGGATCTCTCCCTTCGCCATTAGCACCTGAAGTGTGACAATAAAGGCAGAGAAGGAAGAAAAATGAGCGGGAGCAGCAGTTAGTGAAGCAGAGAATGTAAAATCCATCCACCAACCAATTGCAGAAAATAAACCAACATTTTTTTTTATAGATTTGGATATGCATATTGACCCACCAACAACTCACATTGACTGCCTTGACCAGAGCCGCCTTGTGATCTGCCAGCAGTTGCCTTGTTGTGACTGGCACAATACGCTTGGTCATTAACCACATGCATATATGTATCTGTATGTTGAGTGGCCATTAACTCACGTTGACTGCCTTGACCAGGGCCGCCTTGTGATCCGCCAGCAGTTGCCACGTGGCAGCATGTGGGAGCATATGTACATACATATGAAGATGTATTGACTGCATTGACCCGCCCGTAACTCACATTGACTGCCTTGACCAGGGCCGCCTTGTGATCCGCCAGCAGCTGCCACGTGGCAGCATACGCTTCATCCAGCAAAGCATGCGCCATGTCAGCCGCCACGTCATCAGCGTGATCGCTGATCTTCCCCCCCGTGAACCCGTAGTCAGCGTAGAGACTCCCCTCAAAGCCCAGCGAAGGGCCGCTGGCAGTGCTGCGACGCTTCCAGGCGGGCGGGATGCCCCGAGGGAGCACCTTCCCTGCCATGTGCCATCTGGAAGAGGGGGAGAGGGGAGGGGGAGTGAAGGGGGCACAGGGTGCGGGGTTAGGAGCTGAAGCCCAGCAAGGGGCCGCTGGCAATGCTGCAGCGCTTCCAGGCAGGTGGGATTCCCCTCAGCAGCAGCACCTTCCCTGCCATGTGCCATCTGGGGAGAAGGGAGGTTGGGTGGGGGAATGGGCATGACGTCAGGTATTCAACCGCTGGCAGTGCTGCGGCGCTTCCTGGCGGGTGGGATGCCTCTGGGGAGCACCTTCCCTGCCATGTGCCATCTGGGGAAGGGGGTGAGGGGTTTGGGGGAGTAGAGTGGGTAGGGGACTAAAAGGCTGATCTCCCCTCAAAGCCCAGCGAGGGGCTGCTGGCAGTGCTGCGACGCTTCCTGGCGGGTGGGATGCCTCTGGGAGCACCTTCCCTGCCATGTGCCATCTGGGGAAGGAGGGGGGGGGGGGAGGGGGAGTGCAGTGGGTGGGTAGGGGGCTAAAGGGCTGATCTCCCCTCAAAGCCCAGCGAAGGGCCGCTGGCAGTGCTGCGACGCTTCCTGGCGCGTGGGATGCCTCTGGGGAGCACCTTCCCTGCCATGTGCCATCTGGGAAGGGGAGAGGGGAGGGGGCAGGGTGCGGGGTTCAGGGTTCAGGGTCAAAAATCAGGGGTTCAAGGCGTGGGATTTGGGGTTGAAGGGCTGATCTCCTCTCCCCCTCGCCTTCCCCCCTGTGAGCCCGTATTCAGCGTAGAGACTACCCTCGAAGCCCAGCGACGGGCCGCTGGCAGTGCTGCGACGCTTCCAGGCGGGCGGGATGCCCCGAGGTAACACCTTTCCTGCCATGTGCCATCTGGGGAAGGGGGAGAGGAGGGAGGGGGGGTGGGGGGTTTGGGGGAATGGGCATAGGGTCAGGGTTTGAAGCGCTGGCAGTGCTGCGGCGCTTCCAGGCAGGTGGGATGCCTCTGGGGAGCACCTTTCCTACCATGTGCCATCTGGGGAAGGGGAGAGGGGGAGATGACAGAATATAGGGAGAGATCAGGGTTCAAGAAAATGGGTCTTTACACGTAAGTGCCCTTGTCACAGCAGACAAAAGCTCGTGCCGCCCGGATCTTCACACAAAGACAAACTTGTAAGCCACCAATGAGGCCCTTGCTGCCCGGGCACTCACATGGAGACAAACTTGTACGCCATCCAGGAAGCATCCGCCACGTGGCGCTGACTGTACGTGCTGCTGTCGCGGCCCCACACCACCTCCTCTGCCGCCCGGCCCCCCAGCATCACCTGCCACGTCACACAAGCAAAGGCAATGATGCCGAATCCGCACAAAGCAAAGGAGGTGAAATAGACTCATGCAGGTGAGTCAAATCCACTAAGGCCCTGAGGCTTCAAAAGAAGGTACATCACTTGCTATCGCTACAGTTCTTAAAATCACTTCAGTACTTGCAATTGCTACAGCCATTGAATCGCTACAGTACCCGCAACTGCAACAGCAGCACCAGCCATCACTACAGTACCTGCAATCGGTGTAGCAGCGTTCGTCTCTTCTCGAAAAGGTACGCCTCATCATCAATGCGGTTGAATACAGTCCACGAGGGGGTCTGTGTGGTAGAAAGGGGTTAAGACAGGGTTCAATGAGGGTTGAAACAGGGTTTAGAGAAGGTGGTGTGGAAAGCGTCACTCTGCTTCTTCTCAAAGACACTTGTCGTGTGCAACAAGACTAAATTCTCTCCCTCGCAAGGGCTCCGTCAGTTTGCCTGAGCTTCTCTTAACTGCTTGCATCCGTGGTTTTGGGAAAACGAATTGCAGGATTACGAGAAACAAACAAGCAAAAAGCACGGAGCAGGTATCCTCCTATGCCTAAGTCCCAACCATCCTTCTGCCTAGGTTGCTTGTCCCACAAGCTAACTCTAGTTGCCAAGTCACGTAGCAGCAGTGCTGCTCGAGATAGCTTCTAGGTGCTAGCTGGGTCCCAGTGGCCCACTAGGCATGCACCGACTTCCAGCTGGAATTACATTCTCTGAATCGAATTCCCAGCCTGGAATCGAATTCAACCCTGCCCCCACCAATTTCCTTGAGGTTCCCCACCCTGCTCGGCTCCATATATGTACAGTACATTCCAAGCACACAAGCGAAAGTATGAGTACAAGAAACAGACAGCAATATAGTACAACCTCACCTTGCTGTGCAATTCACACTTAGCCGCAGGCTATGTGTTAATAGCGCGACACACTTCATCCTCTAAACCCTAAAGGTTTCAAACCCAAACCTCTGAAACCTCACCTCTCCTCGGGGAACGATGGAGAGGCGCTGCGGCGGCTCCACCTGAGCGTCGTCATACTCAATCAGCAGCAGCGCCGTCAGTCAGCGCCCTAGACCCTTAATCCGAAGCCCTTTAAACCCCAAACCCTACCACTCTCACCTCCCCACGGGGAACGATGGAGAGTCGTTGCGGCGGCTCCACCTGCGCGTCGTCATACTCAATCAGCAGCAGCGCCGTCAGCGCCAGCCCCGCCTCGTGCACCGCCACAGACTCTCCACTCCCCTGAAACCCAGTTTAACCTTAAACCCAACACCCTGAACCCTGAACGCACCTCCCCTCGGGGAACGATGGAGAGTCGTTGCGGCGGCTCCACCTGCGCGTCGTCATACTCAATCAGCAGCAGCGCCGTCAGCGCCAGCCCCGCCTCGTGCACCGCCACAGACTCTCCACTCCCCTGAAACCCAGTTTAACCTTAAACCCAACACCCTGAACCCTGAACGCACCTCCCCTCGGGGAACGATGGAGAGTCGCAGGGGCGGCTCCACCTGCGCGTCGTCATACTCAATCAGCAGCAGCACCGTCAGCGCCAGCCCCGCCTCATGCACCGCCATTCTCGTACCCCTTATACCCTGAACCCCTTAAAAACCCTCAAGCCTTACCTCGCCTCGGGGAACGATCGAAAGCCGTTGAGGCGGCTCCACCTGCGCGTCGTCATACTCAATCAGCAGCAGCGCCGTCAGTGCCAGCCCCGCCTCATGCACCGCCATTCTCCGCACCAGCATCGGGTGCTTGCCCTGCTCTGCCCCCCAGCGCTCCCTGGGCGTGCCGAGGGTGAGGCGGTCCGCTGCCGTGTTGAGATCCTCGTCCTCTATCTCCCCCGCCCCCCTCCTCACCGCCACCAGCGCCGCCTCCTGCAGCAGATTCGCCAGCTGGGCGCCACTCCACCCTGGAGAGACATTAGGGTTGAGACGGATACAGAGGAGTTTGAAGGGATTGGGGAGGGGTTGAGGGAGAATTGCCTCCTGCAGCAGATTCGCCAGCTGAGTGCCACTCCACTCGGGAAAACAGAGTGTTGAGGGGATTTAGAGATCAAGAAGGCAGCTTACAGTCTCGTATTAAAACCTGGCCATTACCTGCAAGGTTGGCTGCAATGGTGTCGACGTCCACGTGGGGGGGGCTCACTCGTCTTGACCTTCTTGGGGTTGAAGGTTTACAAGCTACAAGTTTGACCTGGCATTAAACGCTGGCTGCGATAGTGTCGACGTCCACGTGAGAGCTCACTCATCTTGACCTTCTTGGGGTTAAAGGTTTACAAAATCCAGGACTTGATGCTTTGGTGTGGATGTGATTACCTGCAAGATTGGCTGCAATGGTGTCAAGGTCCACGTGAGGGGGGCTCACTCGTCTTGACCTTCTTGGGGTTGACGGTTTACAAGTTCAAAGGCTGGAAGGTGGGGTTGACAAGGTAAAAGTTCGTCATGGCATTACCTGCAAGGTTGGCTGCGATGGTGTCGAGGTCCATGTGGGGGCTCATCTTGACCTTGTTGGGGTTCTTAGGGGTTTGTAGTTGAAGGTTTAAGGGTCATGGATGCGAGATTACCTGCGAGGTTGCCTGCAATAGTGTCGAGGTCCATGTGGGGGCTCATCTTGACCTTCTTCTTGAGGCTCGCATGGATTTACAAGATTCAGGAGTTTATGTTCTGGTGTTGATGTGATTACCTGCGAGGTTGGCTGCAATGTTGTCGAGGTCAACATGCGAGCTCATCTTGACCTTCTTGGCATGCACCTTCAGCACCTCCGCCCTGTCCTTTGAGTGGCTGACATGACCTTTCTGAAGCCTGCTGATCTTGGACCATGCACGCAACGCAAAGACAGACCCTGGCATTACCTGCGAGGTTGCCTGCAATGGTGTCGAGGTCCACGTGGGGGCTCATCTTGACCTTCTTGGCATGCACCTTCAGCACCTCCGCCCTGCCCTTGGAGCCTGGCGGTACAATGGTGATCTGAAGCAGAGACAAGAGACGCAAGGGACATCAAGCGGGAGAGACAGGTGTGAAGAGATGTCTGAGAGCAATCAGCTCATCTTGACCTTCTTGGCATGCATGCACCTTCAGCACCTCCGCCCTGCCCTTGGAGCACGGAGGCACGATGGTGATCTGGGGAGCAACGCACGGGGGAACGGAAAGGTGAAACAGGAGGGAGGAGAATGGGGGAGTGGTTACAGAGATGTCTGAGAGCGATCATCTTGACCTTCTTGGCATGCATGCACCTTCAGCACCTCCGCCCTGCCCTTGGACCCCGGCGGCGGCACGATGGTGATCTGATGGGCAGTGGAATCACAAGGCAAGGAAGAAACCGGTATGTGAAGTGAACATCCCCCACTTGTCAGCAACCACTGCCTTTTTGCCCACCAACCATCCAATCTTTCATTTTATCCTTCAACCCAACTCTTACCTTCCTATCAAATCGCCCTGGCCTGAGAAGGGCAGCATCGAGCATGTCGATGCGATTAGTAGCTCCAATGAACACCTATGTTGCGGAAGACGCAAGACGCGAAATTGAATTTCGCGATTTCGAAGCGAAATTCAATTTCGCGACATTTGCACCCCCTCCCACCCATTTCGACCATAGAAACCAGCCCCCAAGCAAATTTGATACCCCCCCAACCAAAATTGCACACAAACCTCACTGGACCGCTTAGTATCTAGAAAACCCAGCCTCTATGGCAAACCACCAAGAGGTTGGGGAGCACAAATCCCCCATTTGTGCTCCCCATCTTTCATTTCTACCAAATTCTCTTTCAAAAACCCTTTAGGGTTTTGCTAGTTCCCTCGGGAAACTCTAAGTATGGGGAAAAGGTTATGGTACGGCGAAAACTTGACCCAATTGTGACATATGTGCATGCCCCCCACCCTCCCCATGCCCCACAGAAGTTTTTTTAGGCTGCACGAACCTTTTTTTGGCCTGCCCGGGATTTTGTCTAATCCTGCGTCTAATCTGGCCTGAAATGCGTCGACGCAACCGTCTAAGACGCTAGATGCATCTTCCGCAACATAGATGAACACCATGCCCTGGCCTTCTGGCCTCCTACGCTTCACCTGTTTCTCTGTCTCGCTCTGCTCACACCTGGACTCATACATGCCTTCCTGTTGAACCGCCCCGGTCGCATCGCAGCAGGGCAGCATCGAGCATGTCCATGCGGTTGGTAGCTCCAATGAACACCATCCCCTGGCCCCTCCCTTCCTCCACCTCTCTACTACTACTGCTACCCTTGATTTTTCTAGAGGGATCGTGAAATGGGCTGTCTGGCCTCTTGTACCTTTCAATCAAACCGCCCCGGGCGCAGCAGGGCAGCATCCAGCATGTCCATGGGGTTGGTGGCGCCAATGAACACCACCCCATGGCCTCTCCTTCCCTGCACCCCCACTACTCGTGCTACCCCACCCATGCATTCCAGAGAAGGTTGGGTTGCTACTTCTGACCCTTCTGTCGAACCGCCCCGGGCGCAGCAGGGCAGCATCGAGCATGTCGATGCGGTTGGTGGCGCCAATGAACACCACCCCATGGCCCCCCTAGCCCCTGACCCTTCCCACCCTCCACGCCCTGCCCCCCTGGTCGCTGCACCCAGTTCCTCACACTTGGACCCGTACCTTTCTGTCGAACCGTCCCGGGCGCAGCAGGGCAGCATCGAGCATGTCCATGCGGTTGGTGGCGCCGATGAACACCACCCCCTGGCCGGTGTCGAAGCCGTCCAGCTCGATGAGCAGCTGGTTGAGAGTTGTTTCACGCTCCGTCACTCCCGCATCTGCGCCCTCGTCCCCCCCTGCTGACGACCGGCTGGGAAACGGAGAAGAGAAGGAGGGGACATGGGCACAGAGAGAGGAAGTGGGGGAGATGGAAAAAAGGGAATGAAACTCGCTTTATAAGAGGGTGTCGGGATGGGGGAGAAGAAGCGGCAGTGAAACTCACTCTACCACATTAGCGCAGTTCATCTGATGAAGGGCTGAATTGAATTGAAACATACAGGGAGGGGTGTCTGCAGGCAGAAGAAACACACGATTGGGAGGGGGTTGACTAGCAGAGAAGGGAGTGAGGGAAGGTGTGCGGCGGGAGGGAGGGAGGGAGGGAGGGGGGAAGGGCATGGGGTAGAAATGCAAAGGAAACGACTTACGCAGCTCCAAGGGCGTCGATTTCATCGATGAAGACCACAGCAGGCTTGTTGACCTGCGGCATGGGCATGGGGATAGGGATAGGGATAGTAGGGTAGCAGGCAGGCACACAGGGAGGGGGGGTGGGGGGGGAAGGGTGGGTAAACCAGCAGGATTTCTCGATCACATCGATAATATACGGCATGGGATTTGAAGCCCACTCACGACTGTGTGTCAAATGCTGCAATGCTACGCGGCATTGATAAGCGTCATCGCTTCGTGACATTGCTTCGTGACATTGCTTCGTGACATTGCTTCGTGACATTGCTTCGTGACATTGCTTCGTGACATCGCTTCGTGACATCGCTTCGTGACATTGCTTCGTGACATTGCTTCGTGACATCGCTTCGTGACATTGCTTCGTGACATTGCTTCGTGACATCGCTTCGTGACATTGCTTCGTGACATGAATGAAGACCTGTATTTGAGAGGTGCCTCGCCTCAAAAACATAGCGACCTGTTTCTTAGGCACCTCACAAACACTTTGCTTTGACCTACGCCAGACCTTAAAGTAGTTTTGAGACGTCTCAAAACTGTTTCTTAGGCACCTCAGAAACACTTTCCTTTGACCTAAGCCAGACCTTAAAGTACCTTTCATAAAATCAATTACCTTGGCTCGCTTGAAGAGATCGCGCACACGAGCAGCCCCCACCCCTACCAGCACTTCAGCAAACTCGGAGCCCGCCATCTGGTAGAATGGCACGCCTGCCTCGCCTGCTATGGCCTTAGCCAGCAGCGTCTGAGGGAGGGAAGGAGGGAGCGGGAGGGGGGGTGCGTGGGGGCGGGCAGAAGGAAGAACAAATGGAGTAGGGGAGCGGGTAGACTCAAAGCCCTCCATCTGGTAGAATGGCACTCCCGCCTCGCCTGCTATTGTCTTGGCTAGTAAGGTCTGGTTGGGAAAGGGGCCAGATGGAGAGCAAGGAGGGGAGAGGAGAAAAGGGCAAACTCGGAGCCCGCCATCTGGTAGAATGGCACTCCCGCCTCCCCTGCTATGGCTTTAGCCAGTAGCGTCTGGTGGTAGGAGGGAGGGAGAAAGGGAGAGTAGCGTATGAGGGAGAGAGGAGCACAAGGAAGAGAGAGCAGCCCCCACTGCCCACTGCCCACCAGCACCTCGGCAAACTCGGCTCGGAGCCCGCCATCTGGTAGAACGGCACTCCTGCCTCGCCTGCTATGGCCTTGGCTAGCAGCGTCTGGTTAGTTGTGGGGAGGGAGACAGGATCATATGATGGAAAAACGATTGTATGAGAGCGAGAGAGGGGCATATGAGGGAGTGAGAGCTGCCCCCACTCCCACCAGCACTTCAGCAAACTCGGAACCGATCATCTGGTAGAATGGCACCCCTGCCTCGCCTGCTATAGCTTTAGCCAGTAGCGTCTGGTGGTAGGAGGGAGGGAGAAAGGGAGAGTAGCGTATGAGGGAGAGAGGAGCATAAGGAAGAGAGAGCAGCCCCCACTGCCCACTGCCCACCAGCACCTCGGCAAACTTGGCTCGGAGCCCGCCATCTGGTAGAACGGCACTCCTGCCTCGCCTGCTATGGCCTTGGCTAGCAGCGTCTGGTTAGTTGTGGGGAGGGAGACAGGATCATATGATGGAAAAACGATTGTATGAGAGCGAGAGAGGGGCATATGAGGGAGTGAGAGCTGCCCCCACTCCCACCAGCACTTCAGCAAAGTCGGAACCGGTCCTCTGGTAGAATGGCACCCCTGCCTCGCCTGCTATGGCCTTGGCCAGGAGCGTCTGGTGGAGGGAGGATCATGATGCAAAGAGGATCGTACGAAGGAGGTGGAATGCATAAGGGAGTGAGAGCTGCCCCCACTCCCACCAGCACTTCAGCAAAGTCGGAACCGGTCATCTGATAGAATGGCACTCCTGCCTCGCCTGCTATGACCTTGGCTAGCAGCGTCTGATTGGTGGGGAATGGGGAGAGGGAGAAGAGGAGAACATGTGGAGAGATGAGGATGAGAGGGAGGGAGGAAACTCGTAGCCCGCTATCTGGTAGAAGGGCACTCCTGCCTTGCCTGCTATGGCCTTAACTAGTAAGCTCTGGTGGATGGAGGGTTAAAGGGGGCGGGGACAAGGATGTGAAAGAGGAAAAAGGGAGGAAGGGAGAGAGGAAAGGCCAGGAGGAGGACGGAATTGGAGGAGGAAGAGCGTGTGGAGGTGTGATGGGAGAAGCGGAAACTAAGCGAAGCAACACGGCAGCAGGGCAAACGGCAGAGGGTCAAGCAGCAGTGCAACAGCGGCTCACATTGCCACAGCCGGGAGGCCCTTCCAGTAGAACTCCACGCAAGGGCTTAGTTCCCATGAGGTTCAACCTCATGGGATGTGAGCCAAGTGTTACTAAGCATGTGAGCACTCACCATGCCCACCACCTTGTCTCACGGGTCTCACCTTGCCACAGCCAGGCGGCCCTTCCAGCAGCACGCCGTGTGGGGGCTTCGTTCCCATGAGGTTGAAGCGCTGAGGGTCCTTCAGATATTCCACGAGCTGAGGAAAGATGCACACAGGAGGAAGAGAGGAGGGGGGGAGCAGAAGGGTGGGGAGGGAGGGGAGAGACAGAGGCTTGGTTCCCATGAGGTTAAAGCGCTGGGGGTCCTTCGGATACTCCACGAGCTGTTACAGAGGCCAGAACAAGGAGGGAAGAAGGAAAGCGGGAGAGAGGGGATGATACTGTGGGGGAGAGGGAAGTGGGATCTGCAATTCGGGGTTGCTCCACCCCACTGCAGACGTACAGAACAATCAAGCGGATTTGGCGTTTTGCAGTGGGGTAGCGCTTATCAACAAACCGACGAGCTGCAACAGCAGGCCAGCTCGATGGGAGATTGCTGGCGAGAGGCCGGGGCGGGGCTACCCGAGGTGAGTTTAGATTTCGAGTTCATAAGCACATACATGTATACTCATGTATGTATGTGTATATGTGTGTATCTATATTCCTATATATTTATATATTTGAGATGCAACCCACCTCCTGTAGCTCCTGCACGGTCTCGTCAATGCCTGCCACATCCTCAAACTTGACTCCCGTGGACCCCTGATGAGGAGAATGGGGGAGAGAGAGAGGAGAGGAGAATTCTAGTCGACTCAAAGGTCACCTCCTGTAGCTCCTGCACGGTCTCGTCAATGCCTGCCACATCCTCAAACTGGACTCCCGTGGACCCCTGATGAGGAGAATGGAGGAGAGAGAGAGGAGAGGAGAATTCTAGTCAAATCAAAGGTCATCTCTTGTAGCTCCTGTACCATCTCGTTAATGCCTGCCACATCCTCAAGCTTCACTCCCGTGGACCCCTAATGAGGAGAAAGGAGAGAAGGAAGAGAGGCTCGACACGACAATAGCGGAGGAAGAGGAGAGAGAAGTTGTTTAAGGTGCAGGAAGAGACAGGGGAGAAGGAAAAGAAGAGACCAGAGCCAGCGGGGGAGAAGGCTGATAGGATGAACGAGAAGCAGAGAGTCTGGATCTCCAGCAAAAGGCCGACAAATTTTGAGGCGCCTCAAAAGGCAACAGAGAAGCATATGAGCACAAGAGAGAGGGTCTCGAAGAATTCTCTAAAGGGAGAATATGCACCCAGGGGAGACAATCACAGTAGGGCGGGGAAGGGAGAGCAGAGCAGCAAAGGTAGGAAGCCGGCATGGCACGGCATGGCATGGCACAGCATGACCCTGCCACTGCCCAGCCCAACCCAGCCCAGCCCAGCCCAGCCCAGCCCAGCCCAGCCTGGTGCCATGCAGAGGAGCACCGCTCAGCACCGCACAGCACACACTGCACAGCACACACTGCACAGCAGCAACCACTCACTCACCTCCACTCGAGCCTGGGGCTTGGACTGGCCGAACTCAATGGCTTGCCAGATGTCCTGCCACAAGGGAGTTTTGACATACGGGGTACAGGATTCAGGGTTCAGGTTTAGCTATTTATGGGTTGGGTTCAGGCTTCAGTTTGGGGTTTCAGATAAGAGGTTCAAATCCAGGGTTCAAAATTCAACGTTTCGGTTTGGGACTCGAGGTTTGGGTGTTTCGGGCTCTGCTTGTTCTAATTTGAAGTCTTGGGCAAATGACTGGACTCTACAGCATAAAAACGCACAATGGCCCACCCAGCCAACCTACAGCCCATTGCCACCCCTCCCCTCCTCCAGCCCCCTTCCTCTGCACCCCTTTCCCCCATGCTGCTTGCATGTCTGTTCGCCCCAGCTGCCATAAACAGCACCACAAACACCATCATCCCCACCACTCTATCACCCTTTCTAACCCCTGCTACCCCAGCTTCCCAACCTTCCCTCCCCTTTCCCTCTCTTTCATCACTTACCCACTTAGTGTAGTCCCTAGTGCGTCTGTTGAGAGTGAACTTCGCCCCAGCTGCCATAAACAGCACCACAAACACCATCATCCCCACAGCCTTGGCCGAACTCTTCAGCTTCCCGATAAAAATATCCCGCGCCAGGTCAACCGCCACGTCAGTAATAGCATCTCCTGATGCAGTGGCAGCAGCGCCAGTCACCCCGCTCGCTATCCCCCCGCTCCCAAACATCGCCGCCAGCTGTAGCTGCAAGAATCCAAACAAACTGGTGCCGCCCGGAGCAAACAGACTCGCCCACGTGGCAGTAAGCACTGCGGCTATCTGCTTCGCTACAGCCGCTACAACCCAGACCACAGGCGTCAGCAGGGGTTTCGCCAGGGGCCACAAAACGGATCGGACTATAAAGAGTACGGCGGAGGAGGCCAGGAGAAGGGCGGCGGTGGAAGAAGCGATGAGGGCGGAGAGGAAGGATTGGAGAATGGCTGCTAGGATGGAACATTCCAGGAAGATTCGCCCGGAGATGGTAGAGGCTGCTGGGAGGGGCTTCGCTGATGGCACCTCGACAAAAGTCTGATGGGAGAGAAGAGGGGAAAAAAGGAGGAGGAAAGCATTGAAGAGAAGAGAAGAGGGTAACAAGGTCAGAGGCTGATGGGAGGAGCTGCCCAGCGAGCATGCTGCTGCAGCTGCAATCACTCAAACGGTTTGACATCCCTCACATGTTGTGCCTTGCAAAAAACTCCCAACCCAAGAGTGTTCACATAGCCAGTTTGCCGAAAACAGGGAGATTCGTGTCACCAAGAGATTCGTTTCGGAGTTTTTGTGACACCGAGGAACACAATCAGAGATCTTACCGAAAACACCATATCCATTTCCTTTTGCAGACTTTAAAAGGCCACCAAAGCCATGACCACCGTCACTGATCGCACAACCATTCACGACGTACGGCTTTCACTCTTTGGTTTCACTATAACGAGTACACGTGAGAGCTCTTACCGAGTACACTGTTTCCACCTCCTTCTGCGGGCCCTTATAGGCCGCAAGCACTGCCGGCACGGACCGCGAGTCCACCTTGAGACGCCTGCAAGGGGCAAGGAGGGGAATAGGGACCCAGGGGAGGCGGGGTGAGACAATGCAAGCCAATGCTGCCAGCACTGCTGGCACGGACCGAGAGTCCACCTTGAGCCTCCTGCAAGAGGCAAGGAGGGGAGTAAGGAGGGAGAGGGGAGGTGGGAGGTGGGAAGAGGGGGAGAGGGGAGAGGAAAAGAGAGGGTGAAATTGATGACAATAAAGGAAGCTGCCAGCACTGCCGGCACGGACTGAGAGTCCACCTTGAGCCTCCTGCAAGGGGGCAAGGAGGGGAGTAGGGACCCAGGGGGGGGGGGGGGGGGAGGGGGGGGGGGGGGGGGGGGGTTGGGGGGAGGAGGGGGTGGGTGGGGAGGGGAGGGAGGATGGGGAGAGGGAAGAGGAGAAGAGAGGTTGCAACTGACGAAAAAAAGAAGCTGCCAGCACTGCCGGCACAGAGAGTCTGTCCCGAGCTTCCTGCAAGGGGCAAGGAGGAAAGGTGGGGAGCGGTGGGGTGGGGTGGTGGGGAAGGGAAACACCTGGTGAGTACGAGCAAGGTGGCTCCCCCGGGACCTCCTTCAGCTGCACCAGCACGTCACAGTACTCGAACCTCCCAATGCTCACTCCCCAGGAGGTCCCAGTGCCTTCCCAGGTGGCACGCCCACACTCACCACGTTTTGGTCTGTAGCGCCGACTCCCCCGGGACCTCCTTCAGCTGCACCAGCACGTCACATTACTCGAACCTCCCAATGCTCACTCCCCAGGAGGTCCCAGTGCCTTCCCAGGTGGCACGCCCACACTCACCACGTGTTGGTCTGTAGCGCCGGCTCCCCCGGGACCTCCTTCAGCTGCACCAGCACATCCCAGTACTCAAACCTCCCATCGCGCCTCTTCAGTGCACCCCAGTGCACCAACATCGCTTAACCCACACACGCGCCACTCCAATCAACTGTACTCACCAGGTGTTGGTTTGAAGGGCAGGCTCCCCCGGGACCTGCTTCAGCTCCACCAGCACGTCCCAGTACTCAAACCTCCCATCGCGCCTCTTCAGCCCGCGAGACGTCACCAGCTTCACCTGCTTCTTCTCCGCAAAACCCAGAAACTCCGCCGCGCTCATGGGCGGAGCGTCCGCCAGCGCGCGCTCAAACGCGGTGGTTTCCACCACGCGCGGAGCAAACGCCTCCTCTGGAACCACCAGCTCCCCCTTAAACTCGCGCAGGAGATCTTTCAGGTATACTGGATTAGCCTGTTGAGTAGCATCAGCGCCTGAGGAGATTCCCTGTTGAGATTGTTTCCCTTCCTTTCCTTCCCTTCCCTCTGCTGCCACGCCCTCTTCGTCACTCGCTTCCTCTATAATCACCTCCTTATCCACCCCTCCTAAAACCTCCGCCAGCTTTCCCAAGGCCGCCTCACGAGCGCTTTCAATCCCTTCCTCTAGGGCGTTCAAGGCTCGGATGGGCGCAGGTACGGCCCGAGCCTCTGCCTCCTTGAGAGACATCAGCTGCCCGTTCACCCGAACCTGCGGCTCCACCCGGTTCGGCACCCGCTCCAGTAACTCGGTGATCGGATCCCAATCCTTATCCACGTCAGCCGCTGCTGCTGCTGACGTGCCCTGAGACCGCTTCTTCGCAGCTTTCGCCTTCTTTGCGCCCCCGGCTGCTTTCCCTGTAGAGCCCGATGCTGAGCTGGCAGCTTTCGATTTGCTGCTACCTGCCTTCCACTGTGACGTGGACCCAGACGAGTCTCCCCCTCCCCCAGATGCACCTGCACCAGAAACCGCCGCAACTACACCCAAGGAACCAGCTCTTCTGAGCCCTCTAACCCTTCCGACACCAGCTCCTGCTCCTGATGCACCTGTGCCCTGAAATCCTCCTCCCAATCCTGTGCCTGGATGTAATCCCACACCTCTCCCTAGCTCTATCCTTCCTGGGACCCTTAGACCCTGCCATCCCCACGGGTGGAGGGAGGAGGTTCGAAGGACACTGGCAGACGCAGCAGTGGGAGACGCGGCTGCGGAAAGGGTGGAGAGAGAAGGAGAGCACGTCCTCGCGCGACCGATGGACTGGAAAAGGGCAAAAGTAAGGTAGGTGGGAATCACTTGACAGGAGCGGAGCGGAGGGACATGAACATACAAAACATAGTAACTTGATCATCCCCGACTTGCCCATCCCCATTCCTCTCCATCAATAACACGAAAATAGTGACAGGCAAAAAGGAATAGCAGTCAACAACTAACGGATATGAGCGGAAAATGATTAAGTGCCTCTCTTGAACAGTCCATCAGGATTCAAGGATTTGACCCTATTATGAAGCCAAAGCGTACCTGGTGCATGGCCAGTGGCTGCCGGCTTGCAGGCTGCTGCGCTACGTGCACACGAGCACAGGGGACGCGTCCAGGGACGACGCATCCTGTAACGCGTACAGGGGAGAAAAAAACTGCGAGGAAAAATTATTGAGATTACAGCCAACTAACTGGTGACAGGCAGTGCCGCATCGTGCAGAAATGATTGCAACACGGCGCACTCGCACTAGAGCACTCAACCATGCCAGTCTGTTCAACAGGCTTCTGAAGGTCCTGATGAACGGTAAATCCTAAACGACCTGAAAGAGCTTGATAATATGAAAGCCAAACGCATGAATTCCATGTGACATAAAAAACTCCAAGCAATTCGATCTTACAAATTGACATAAAAAACCGGGTAAGGTGATTGATTAAAAGTGGGCATACCGCATGGAGGCCGGGAAAGGGATGGTAGCGAAGCCTGCATGGTGAATTCTGCGGTATCAGGTAACGCAAAGTTTCTGCAACAAGGGTTCGAAACACCAGCACAGAAAACCCTAGCTGGTCATTCAGCACCAGTGTCAACTATGAAGAATGGTTCCTCAACGAACTGCGCGAAATCGAAGTATGGGTAACTGGTATGGGTACGTGGCTGCGAAATCGCGGCAAACGGCGAACGGGAACTCACTGGCAACTAAAAGGCTAGGCCAAGCAGATTGGGATCGGGAAGTCGTGGCATCGACGGATTGGATCCGACGGTCGAGATCAGACGAACATCCGCGACCACGGATACTGCGTGAGTTTCCAACGAAAAATACTAGTGAGCGCGATGCGAGCTTCTGGAAACCTGTGCCTGATCAGGTCGATGGGTGCACGCATACAGCAGTCTGCTCCTCTGCTGACGAGTATCAGACTAACACCTCAAGGACACACGTCCCTTCCCTGAAACGACATCGCATGCACGCTCGACGTAACAGGATCAGTGTCAGGAAGAGGATAAGGACGCCGTAGCAGGACTAACAACCTGGGCGAAAGGAAATACTAACTTAACGGAGCCATAGTTTTGAAGTCTCGGCAGGTGTGACTGTAGCGTGACACGCTCGCTACAAGAACAGTCAACACAGCACATTTTCAGAAGTCAGCTGCAAGAATCATCCCCACCCTCCTCCACCCCTTTCAAAGTTAGCCCAAAACTTGAAACCTCGAAGTTGTCATACTGAATCCCCTGATTGTCCATAACAACTGTGAGCGAAGCAGTCAGCCGCACACAATCCCAGCCAACCACTCCCCTCACACCCTCTTGTGGACGCCACGTCACACCGCTGTGCTGGCGAGCCCAGTGATCAGGCGGAAGCCTCTATTGGCTGGTTTCCTTTCTGGCTGGGGCCGAATTTCGGCCTTGTCACTCCGTTGAACGACGCGATTTGTCAGATAGTGTAGGTTAGATGAAATACACGCGGATGATAAACAAAAACCCCAACACTCCAGAAAAAAACAGTCTGATGGCAAAAAAATCATACATCTGTATATTACACGTTTTATCAAAATTTACAAGCCATGATTGTAATTTTAATTAATATAAATCATATATTCTCGGTACGTCGCATATTGATTCATATATATATTATCCAATTACCAGTTTCAACTATGTTTTCTGGATGTACTTTGACGGTACAGATAATTGCCATGTCGAGTATGTTTAGCCTCCTGAATTCTGCCGAAGCCGCCTGACAGATTTTCGAGTTCATCCATAGAGCCTCACAACAGCCAAGGGTGTCACCAGCTAGTTGTGCTATGCTGGAAGCTATTAGCGGCTCGATTTCCAGGCTCTACCTTCCCCTAGTTGCGCTCCCTCCAGCGTCTTAACGCCCGTTTCTGTTCTCGCCGACGGCTCGTTTCACATTTATCTCCTTTCCTTGCTGTCGCAAGGTTTGCCCGATTCTTCGCTCGTTCGGATCCTTTTCCCTTGCCTTGCTGGCTTTGCAGTCACTTCGCCGACATCGTCTACGTTTCGCCGATTTCGCCTTCGTTTCGCTAATTTTGCCTTCGCCTCACCTGGCATGATGGTACCTCCTCACGTGAACTATCTGGCGTTGCACAATATCACATTGACTGTGCGATGCAGTCATTCCTTACTGTCACAGCCGGTAATGTCACGGTCCGTGCCATCCGCGTGTCGGTGGATTCGCGCCGTTGGTGCGCTTGGAATAAAGACACGGAAGAGGCTGTGTTTAAGAAGCACAGCAGCTCCCTCGTTGCATATCGGCTCCTAGTCGTCATTTCCTCAAAGAAATAGTTCTTCCTGACGAAATTGAGATGACTGGAAAGGACTAGCAACCACGTTATTTGCGAGCCTTATGTATCAGGGCCTTGTTCTCCCGCCAACCACCTGAAGATTCTCCTGGAAGCTGACATTCTAACTGTCAGCCTGGCAGCAGGGCAGCCTGACAGCCAGCATCGTCCCTCCGGCATCACCGTCACATGTGCACTTAGGCTTCGTAAATGTGACTCAGTTGCCAAAATCGTGATACTATCATCAATCAGTCGCCGACCAGCGTGCATTTTATGATGCCGCAAGCCCAGCAGATCTCGCAACAACGCCACGAGGTGCGAGGCCGGCACAATGGCCGTCAAAACGGACTGCAACGACATTGCGCCCTGGACCTCCTCGTTCTCCTGCTTCTCGTTGCTTCACGGTCTCCTGCAGTGGTATCATCAGCAGCAGCGGCAGCACCAGCAGCGTCGGCTGCAGGAGGTGAAACCCGTGAGAAGGCAGCTGAAGCCAGTGTGCCACCTCTCAAAGAGTCGGATCCCCTTGAAAGAGCATCTGCTGCGGTTGTCAAGAGTTCACATTTTGAAACTCCTGACATCGCCTTACTCAGGAACATGTCCGGCATTTCAACTTCCACTGGCGGGTTGTATGAAACCAAGGGGATTCATGGCACCAGAGGGAATGAGGCCAAGGGGAATCTTGACATCAGAGGGATTCGTCCTACCAGAAGGGCTCATCACTCAAAAGCAATTCATCACAATCACACCACCAAAGGAGCTTTTCACACTGATGCAGGGAAGTATGAACAACGGCTGAGTAGGAAGAGGCCACGTGGATGGCCGGCCATCAAGAAGAGGCCACGTGGACGGGCATGCATCAGAAAGAGGTCACGTGGATCCGGCCACCGTGCACGCGCCACGTCATCATCGGAATCAATTCTGCCACTGCAGAAGATACAGAGGGGCAGGGGGAAGTGTGGCAAGGGACAGAGGGGGCGGGACAAGGGCGAGAGCGGAAGGGGCAGGAGGAAGAATAAGATCAGCATGGGGAAGAGAGACAGGAGGGTGGGAAGCGGAGACAAGTCATCAGCAAAACCACCTGCTCCAATCACTCCTGGTCAAAAGAAACCACCTGCTTCAAGAACACCTGGTCAGAAACCACCTGGTCTTAAACCACTTGCTCCAGTTACACCTGGTCAGAAACCACCTGTTCCAGATACACCCACTACAAAAACACCTGGTCAGGCCCCTCCTGCTGGATCAAGATCACATACAAGTCCCGATTCACCTGGAGGATCACCTGACCACCACGTCAGCATGCGGTCAAATCAAGGTGGCCCGCAGCAGGCAGCAACAGGCAGCAGCAGCAACACGTCTGTGACTCAGCTGGCAGACAAGGCCACAGCTTTAGCGCCAATCCCGGCTGTAGCACCGGTTCCGGCTGTAGCGCCAAGCTGTGGTGGCAATTCTGCTGGTTTCCCCACCACCACAGCAGCAGCAACGTCGCCTGCTGCGCCTCCAGCTGCTCCCCCGCAGCCCCCCAAGCCCAAGTATTTCATCGAGATGGGCAAGATCCGCGTGAGTAAGGGGGTGGGGGGAGGGGAGGAGGGGGGGTTAGCAATAAGGTAGGACAATATCTGCTGCTGCTGCTGCTGCTGCTGCTGCTGCTGCTGCTGCTGCTGCTGCTGCTTCTGCTGCTGCTGCTTCTGCTGCTGCTGCTGCCTGCTGCGCCCCCAGCTGCTCCCCCCCAGCAGCTCAAGCCCAAATACTTCATCGAGATGGGCAAGATCCTGGCGAGTGGGCGGATGGAAAATTTATGTGACTGTGATGTGAGGTTGGGGCCCGGCGTGAGTGGGGAAGGATGGGGGCGCTTGTAGCTGCTGTTGATCTCCTTGTTCTTTGCTCCTCCACCGTTCTGTCATCACCTTCCCCGCACCCTGATATTTTAGAATTCTCAATAACCAGCTTGAGAATTCCTAAAGAACCAGATTGTATTGTTTGTATCTGCTGCTAATCTCCTTGTTTTTTGCTCTTCCACTCCACCGTTCTGTCATCACCTTCCTGCACCCCCCTCTCCCCCCATAACGCCCACAGGTGTCAGGATCCACACTGCTCTGACTCATTACAAGACGATCCTTTAGCTGCTTGTCTCTGCTACATGTAGCTGTTGACTTCTGTGTTGCTCTCTGCTGCTCTGCTCCGTGCTGCTTTCACGCCCACAGGTGTCAGGGATCCACACTGCTCTGACTCATTATAAGACGATCCTTTATATCGATCGCACGGATGTCAGCAACACTTATGCCAAGCTCCTAAACGGAAGGGTAAGAGAAATTTCTCATGCCACTGCTCCGTTTGTTTTTGTCACATATGGAAGGAGTGGATTAAGCTTACTGCCTTAGTGTTAGCGGATGAACCCCCTCCCTTCTCCCATCCCCTCCTCCCCTTCCCCTCTCAACCGCTTTCTCCCCTTTCAGATGGCTTATGCTGAGAAGTACAGCTTCGAAATGAGGTTGTTCACGGCTTTGCATCTCAAGTCTGATCATTTCTGCTCCATCCCCGCCCATCCCCCCTTTCCTTTCCCCCTTTTTCGAGACAGTTTACACAGGACATTAGCACTTTGAAACAAGGTCCCTTAGAGCTCCGGACGTCAAGTCACCTGTTCACCCGCATCACCCCTTCCCTCCCTTACTCCCTGCTTTCAGACTGCTTATGCTGAGGAGTACAGTTTTGAGACTAACTCGCTGAGGGCTCTGGACGTCAAGTCCAATGTCTTCTGCTCTGCAGGTACGTGCCGGTCAACACTGGTCAGTACTGGTCAATGCTTTTCAAGGCTGGTAAATGCTTTTCAATGCTGATGATCATCGGCGTCACATCAGGTGCCGATTCCACTCTGTGGTGATCTTCCCTCTCCCATTCTGCTGTGTGTGGTATCATCCCGCTCCCTGATTCCTTTCCTCCAGGAGCCATTGAATCCTTGGGTCGCCTAATCAGCATCGGAGGCACATCAGACGCCAATGCCACCAACCTGGCCGACCCTCTCCTTGACGGATCTGCCTCCATCCGCTCCTTCATCCCTTGCCCCCCTGCTACTGCCCCCCGTGCTGCTGCCACCACCACTGCTGCTGCCAGTGGTGCCGCTGCTAGTGGTGGCACTATCACTGGTCTATGCTAAACCCCTGGTGTTCTCAACCCTCTTCCCCCACCTCTCCAGGTGCCATCGACGCATATGGTCGGCTGATCAGCATCGGAGGCACATCAGACGCCAATGCCACCAACCTGGCCGACCCTCTCCTCGATGGAGCTGCCTCCATCCGCTCCTTCTCGCCCTGCCCCCCACCTTCTGCCACTGCTGCCACCACTGCTGCTCCTACTACTGCTGCTGCAAGTACTGCCGCTACCACCACTGCTGCTCCTACTACTGCTGCTGCAAGTACTGCCGCTACCACCACTGCTGCTGCTCAATCCTGTGTTCTTCCCTGCCTCTCCCTTTCACATCCCCCTCTCTCACACCACTCCAGGTGCCATCGACGCATATGGTCGGCTGATCAGCATCGGAGGCACATCAGACGCCAATGCCACCAACCTGGCCGACCCTCTCCTTGATGGATCTGCCTCCATCCGCTCCTTCACCCCTTGCCCCCCTGCTACTGCTGCCCCTACTGCTGCTGCCACCGCTGCCACTGCTAGTAGCGGCACTGCCAATAATGGCGCTAATAACACCAGCAGTGCCAGCAGCAGCAGCAGCGGCAGTGCCAGCGGCAACAGCAGCAGCAGTGGGGGGTGTGATTTCTCCCTGGTCGGCCAGATGACCTCCAAGCGGTGGTACCCCACGGCCCAGCTCTTACCAGACGGCCGTATCTTCATTGTTGGGGGTGCCAATGTGTTTGGCAACTTGGCGATCAACTCAGTTCAAAACAACAACCCCACCTTCGAGTTCTGGCCCAGGAAGGAGGGTGAAGGTGAGGCGGATGCAGGGTTCTTCCATGGTCTAGTGCGGTTGTGCGGGGTTGAACGGGCTGTGTATGGCAGAAAGAGGTGGGGTGGGGAGAGAGAAGTGGCCTCCAAGCCAAGCGGTGGTACCCCACGGCCCAGCTCTTACCAGACGGCTGTATCTTCATCATTGGTGGTGGAGCTAATGTTTTTGGCAACGTGGCGATAAATTCGGTTCAAAAAACAACAACCCCGTCTTCAAGTTACGGCCGAGGAATTCGGGAGAAAGGGAGTCTTTAGAACAGCTGAGACTTTGCCACCACCCTTCAGGCAATTACAAGCTTCGCTTTCTGGAAGAAAATCTTCCCGATAACATGTACCCATTCGTGCACCTGCCATTCGTGCACCTGCCATTCGTGCACCTGCCATTCGTGCACCTGCCATTCGTGCACCTGCCATTCGTGCACCTGCCATTCGTGCACCTGCCATTCGTGCACCTGCCTCCTCTAGCCTCTCCCCCTTCCAACCATCCCACTCCCCTGCTCCTCCGTCCACCCTCCAGGAAGAAACTCTTTCGTACAACCTCTTTCTAACCCGTCCACTTCCTCTTCCCAACCCTGTCCCAACCCAACCCCACTCCAGGCAACTACAAGCTTCGCTTTCTGGAAGAGACTCTTCCCTACAACCTCTACCCATTCGTGCACCTGCTGCCTTCGGGGCATCTGTTCATATTTGCAGGGCAACGGGCTATCCTTCTCAACTACACCACCAACACAGTATGTGCTCAACCTCATTGAACCGCACTGAATCACAATGGACCACACTGGGCCGCACTGGGCCGCACTGGGCCACAGTGAATCGATCTTGATTTCACTAGAGCTCTGTGCGGTGGGTGGTGTGTTAACCTGTACCCATATGTGCACCTGCTGCCTTCGGGGCATCTGTAGAAAGTAGATTTACCTGTCTCAAAAAAGAGACGTCTCAAAAAAGTTAACCTGTACCCATTTGTGCACCTGCAGCCTTCGGGGCATCTGTTTATATTCACGGGCAACGGGCGACCCTCCTCAACTACACCTCCAACACAGTACGCACTCAACCGCACTGAACCCCTCTGAGTCACACTGGGCCACGCTGGACCACAGTGAACCGCGCCTCTCTCCCTCACTCATTCACTCTAACCAAATCCCTCTCTACACCTCCGTTGCCCACCCTCCCATCTGACAGGTACATCGCACCCTGCCCCCTCGGGACGTATCCCGCTTTGGCCCGGCCAACAATACCATCTTCCGCTCCTACCCTTTCACTCTCTCACCCTCTCACCGCCCCCTCTGCTCTGCTCTGCCCTGCGCTGTTCTGCACCTCCCTCTCCCTCGCTGCCCTCCCACCCTTGGAATTTCCGTCCCTTCAGGTGTACGCACAAAACCCCCTCTGGACGTATCCCGCTTTGTCCCGGCAAACACTAACATCTTCCGCTCCTACCCTGTCACTGCCCCCTTCGATCTCCACGTTTCATCTCTCCCTCCCTGCCATCCCTCCCTCCCAACTCTCTCAGGTGTGCCGTATTCTTCCTCCTCGCGACGTATCCCGCTTCGGCCCGGCCAACACCAACATCTTTCGCCTCTACCCTGTCACCGGCTCCTCTTCTCTCCCTCCCTCTTCTCTCCCTCCCTCATCTCTCCCTCCCTCATCTCTCCCTCCCTCTGTTATTTCTTCCATCACGCCAACCCCATCCTTGCCTCCATCAGGTGTATCGCACTCTTCCTCCTCTGGACGTATCCCGCTTCGGCCCAGCCAACACCAACATCTTTCGCTCCTACCCTGTCACTGGCTCCTCTGCCATGCTACAGCTCTCCTCAGGTACTCTCTTGGATTTCATCTGTGCTTCTACCTGTGCTGCAGCCGGTCTCTAAGCTGAGCTCGCGTTTGGCTTATGCGTGCGCTGAGCTCTCTGACCTACTTCGTCAGCTCAGTGCACGCATAAGCCAAGTGTGATGAGTCGATTTTTTAGTCGACTCAAAAATCGGCTCTCTGGCCTACTTCGTCAGCTCGGCGCACGCATACGCCAAACGAGGACTCAGGATGCAAAGCAGCTCAAAGAGCTCAACACGCGCATAAATGATGCCTGGAACCGCTTTGTCTGTCCCAAACAAGGCAGCTGGATTTCCAGGCGGCAATCAGATGGTCTTCCAGGTCTTGGTGGAAAGGGGAGCGCATACGGTGAAAGTGACACATAGGATTTTGAGAAGCACACATGGCCCAGCATGAATTGGGTGTGAGGGCCATGCGATATCCAACCCATCCCCATCTCCATCTTCCCCATCTCCCTCTCGCCCATCCAGCTGACGAGTACACGCCCAGGATTCTCATCTGTGGAAGTAGCAGCAGCAGTGCAGACCTGACCAACCGGGATAACCGCACAGGGGCGTGCCTTGGGTGCGTGCCTGCACTCCTCTGTTCTCCTCATTCCTCTGTCTCCTCATCTCCCTTCCCCAGCTGACGGGTACACGCCAAGGATTCTCATCTGTGGTGGCAGCAGTAGCGCCGCTGATCTCACCAATCGGGACAATCGCACGGGGGCGTGCCTTGGTTGTGCTGCCCCTGCCACGGCCACGTGTGGGCTCATTTCGCCCATGGACCCCAACCCTAAATGGACCTACGAGATCATGCCTGTTGCACGGTGAGTGCTTCATACGGTAACCTTACACGGTGTGTGTGTGTCTGTATGGGCGCCTGTGTGCCTGCTAGGGTGCCTTGGGTGTGCTGCCCCTGCCACAGCCACGTGTGGGCTCCTTTCGCCCATGGACCCCAACCCTAAATGGACCTACGAGATCATGCCTGTTGCACGGTGAGTGCTGCTTGGCTGACCGGGAGTGTGCCTCTGCTGGCTCTGTGAGTGCACAAGTCTCTGGTCAGGAGAGTGGCGTGCCTTGGGTGCTTGACTGCTTGACCCCTGCCACAGCCACGTGTGGGCTCATTGCGCCTATGGACTCCACACCACCACGTGGACATATGAAATCATGCCTGCTCCTCGGTGAGTGTTCAAGCTTAGGAATCTCCTCTTTGCCTAGTGCGTGCTGCTTGGGTGCCTGCAAGAGTGCCTTGCCTTGGGGTTGTGCAGCCCCTGCCATGGCACTTGTGGGCTCATTACGCCCATGGACCCCTATCCTACACGGACGTATGACATCATGCCCGTTGCTCCGATGTTTCATCTCCCCTATTCCACCGAACAGTGTCATGCCAGATGCCGTGCTCCTATTGGACGGTACGGTTCTCATCTGCAACGGAGGCAGGAGGGGCTTCCAGGGTCTGAAGCAGTCGTACGCTGGAGGAGACGTTAGGACCCCAGTCATCTACACCCCTACCAACCCACCTGGCAAGCGGTAGGTTGCTGTGAGTCCAGCCGCCGTTACGCTCGTGTGTGCCACCTCTGGCCTGCTACCCTGCTGCTCTGCTGCTCTGCTGCTCTGGGACATGAACCAGCTCGAACCTCTTTCTCTCTATGCCCCCTATACCCTGCACCCCAAAACTCAAACAGCTTCTGGCAGGTTCCAGAGTCGAGTCGCTATGCTCGCATCTACCACTCCTCTGCTCTGCTGCTCATGTCTTGAAAATCCTTCCTCTCCCTGTTTCCTAAACCCTGAACCTTCAACCTTGAACTTCTAAACCCTCTACAGCTTCTGGCAGGTTCCAGAGTCGAGTCGTTACGCCCGCATGTACCACTCCTCTGCCCTGCTGCTGTGGGATGGTTCGGTGTTAATTTCCGGGTCTAATCCCAATGACCGCCTCACTACTAGGGGAACTTACCCTACTCAATTCGCTGTTGACCGGTTTGCCCCACCGTATCTGCAGTGGGGGGTGCTGAGAAACGTGCTGTGGAAGGTGAGGGGGGGTTGCGGGGAATAGAGAAAGGGGAAGGAAGTGCAGTCAAGTCCGACTTCAGTCTTGTCGCTTCTCTGCCTTCTCATTACATTTCTCCGTCACTTCATCTAATAACCTTCAGGTACCCACAACCATTACCTTGAATACTCTCTTCTCAGTGCGCCTCAATACAACTGTAGCCACTCCTTCATCGCTTGATCGCTTCCGGGCCGTTCTTGTCCATCCGGGGTTTTCAACACACAGCCAACGGATGGGTATGCGCAACGTGCTGCTCGATATATCCGCAGTTTGGATTTCACCAGATAATCAAACTGTTACGGCCGCGATAAGAGCGCCACCCAATAGCAGCATTGCGCCGCCTAGTATTTATTGGTTGCATATTCTGGATCAGGGTGGTTATCGTGATTCCAATGGTGCATGGGTGCCTGGAAAGTGGGTTCCTAATTTGGAGGGCAAACCAGTAAGGCTTGTTTAGCAAGAGATTTTAGTGGCGATTGGTTTAGGCGCAGAAAAAAAAAAAAGGCATATGCCATCTGAAGAGCATTTTATCTGCACCTTTACATAGTTCAGGTTGGGCTGTGCCTTTGCTTGATTATGTGAGTGTGTTTTGAAAGCACGTTTACAAGCGATTACAAAATGTTTTCATTTCATGCGTTTCCAGCTCGAAATAAGTCCGCGAATCACCCTATACCGCAACTCTTAGAGCTTCCCTCCCCACCCCAACCCAGCCCTCCTTCCCTCCCTCCTCTCCACCGTTTTCAATCTGGCCTCTCGCCCAAATCCTTCCACATCCTTCAAATCCGTCGAATCTGTCACTCGCAGAATTCCTACTTCCCTAGGGATTCCTGACAGCCTGATCAACTTCTAGGAGATCGCTGTTCTTCCAGCAGCCACAGCCATGGCGTCTCTAGGCGCATGCGCGTTCCGATTCGCGCGGCGCTTTGTGGTTTTCTCGCTGGTTCTGGCGTCGCTCGCGTGTTTTGGTCAAGCGACCGAAGATCTGGTCATCGTCAGGGTAGATCGTAAGGTGCGAACTGCTTATTGACGAAAACTAGGTTTGTTTTTTTTAAGATTTGTTACAAATGTCTGGTCATTGTCAGGGCAGATCGAAGTGTTCGAACCGCTCATTGTCGGAAAAATGGATTTACAGAATAGTAACGATCAATTTCTGGTTAGTGTCAGGGCAGATCTTCAGGCGCGAACGGCAGATTGTATATTCACGGATTAGTGGACTTGCGCTTGAGCCTACGCAGCTATGCCGCTCGCTATTGTCACTTCGTTTCCAGGATCTGAATCTGTGTGATTTTGTGCGTTAGATCCGTGGTTTACTGTCGACCGTCAGATCTGAATTGTTATAATCCAACTGCCATGGCCGTCAGGGCCACATCGCTAGATCCATACCAGCAAGCATGCGACACAACACAAGCTGTTTGCGGAAATGCTGCTTATGACGGTTCGATGCTCTTTATTACGCCATTTGTCGATTCCCGCGGACAGCACGACTGAATCTATATTACCACATGAATAGCTTTGGTTCTAGTTTCGGAAGTGTTCAATACATAATGTTTCCAGAACTGACACATCCCTTTTCCCTTTGTTTAACGTTTTCTCTGTCGTCCCCGGCTTTACCTTCCCTTGTTTCCTCCATGTTCTCTCTAATGCAGATCGACCTTCAGACCCATCTTGTCCGCAATTCCGCGACCCTAAAGGTAAGTCATTTTCAGCCGATTTGAATTTTCTGCTTTGTGTGCAATGAGACACATATAGTCCAGTAACAAAAGAAATTGTCTTCCGTCATGTAGATTCTTTTTTTTCGGGTGATGCACTCTTTCTAGGTTAACTTGGCAGCAGAAAGTTTTTTATTGGAGTGACACGAAGATGTTACGGGGCAAGAGGTGTATGCACGAATGTCGTCTTCGAGAATGTTCAGTATTTTGCTACAAGCAGTACTTGTGCCGGAGTATGCGCGCATGTCTTAGGCGCGGATGTCTTAGCGTGCATTCATTCTTGAGAAGGCGCGGATGTCTTAGCATGCGCATATGTCAGCATGCGCGTATGTCTTCGCACGCGCGCATGTCTTAGAAGGAGCGTATCTCTTGGCATGCGCGCATGTTTCAATTGGCGCGCATGTACGGCAACAGCAGATGATGAGGCTCATGTTGAATTGCGCAAGGGCTCGGACACGGTAGGGCGCTCTCGTGCCTTGTTTTAAGAATGTTGCAGATTCTCCTGCGCGAATGCTGGAGCATGGATGGCGGACAGCACAGCAGATGATGAGGCTCATGTTGAATTGCGCAAGGGCTCGGACACAGTAGGGCGCTCTCGTGCCTTGCTGTTGTGGAGAAACGCACATGCCATGAGGATTCTGATGCTGATTGCTTAAGTGCTATGTGTTCGATAAGAGTGCGTGTGTAGAGGCGTGTTCCTGCACGCATACCAGCAGGGCGCTATCTGTGCCTTGCTGTCGTGGAGACACGCACATGCTATGAGGGTTCTGATGCTGAAACGCTGCTGAACCTGCGGGATGTTGAGTGCTTTTTTTCTGAGTTTTACATTCCAAGCTCTCTCAAAATGTTTTAGCCCGCTTGCCCTTCCTCCTGCCTTTTCTCGTGCTGAATCCTTCCCCTTACCCGATTTTGTCTATTCTGTCCCTTCTTTTCTATTTTTGTCACCTACAGGTGGAGAACGCGGGCTCGACACCTGTCTCCTCGGTCACCCTCGCGCTGCTCGTCCCGCCGCCCGGCCGCCTCGCCTTCGCCACAGCCGTTCTCCTTCAGGGCAAGGCCAAGAGCCGCACCTTCCAGGAACTTCCCCTCACTTCCACCACCCCGGAATCTCCGGTCGAAAACGCGATCTACTTTAAAGCCCAGCTGCCCGCGCCGCTAGAACCCGGGAAAACCGCGCAGATAGAGTGTTACTTTGTGGTGATTAACGCCCTCACGCCTCACCCGGCGGAAATTTCCCAGGCGGACCCGCAGCTGGTGATTTTCCGCGACTCGCACTACTTCACCTCTCCATACCCCGTCCGATCGCAGAGCACCGTTCTTCGCCTCCCCAGCCACCAGATCGAGTCGTTCACGCCGCTGGAACCTTCCAAGAAGGCGGACTCGGAGATTAAGTTGGGGCCGTACGAGGGGGTGGATGCCGGAGAGGTGTCTGCGCTGGCGGTTCATTATGAGAACAACCGGCCGTTCCCGCTGTTTGAGCGCGCGGAGCGGGAGTATGAGATCTCGCACTGGGGGAACGTGTATGTGACTGAGGACTATCATTTGGTGCACTCGGGGGCGAAGCACACGGGCATGTTCTCGCGGTGAGTGCTGTGTGGAGGTAGGGATGCATAGAAGGGTATGGGTCGCATGGCAAGGAATGCAGCACGGCGGAAACGGGGTACGATGAGAGGGAGTTGGAGGTCTCGCATTAGGGGAATGTGTATGTGACGGAGGACTCCCACCTGGTGCACTCCGGCGCCACGCACACGGACATGTTCTCGCGGTGAGTGCTGTGTGGAGGTAGGGATGCATGTAGGGGTATGGGTCTTACGGCAAGAAAGACACAGCACGGAAGAATGGGGGTATGAGGGGGAGTAGGAGGCTTCTCACTGGGGGAATGTGTATGTGACAGAGGTTTATCACCTGGTGTACTCTGACGCCAAGCACACGGGCATGTTCTCACGGTAAGAAGGGCAGAGAGGCGTCAAAACAGGTGCTAACTGAAAAAAGAGCAGCTGATGGTGAGGGTTCTGGAGTTGGAGAGTCGACTGGCAGAGGCGCAAAACGAAAAGGTAGCGCCTTCTGGTGCGTTTTCGTTTTGTGCCTCCTCCAGTCAACTCTCCAACTCCGCAACCCTCGCCATCAGATGCTCCATTTCAGTCAGCGCCTGCTTCACCTTAAGCAGTGCTTGCTCGCGGCCCCTGGCCTCTCGGAGTAACTCTCGCTTCAGCCAGGGCCTTGCATGCGCCTGACATGGTTATAAAAGTCTCCACTCCTGCTTCCCTCCCTTCCCCCTTTCACTCCTCCTGCACCCCTCCCTTCCCCCATCACCCCTCCTGCTCCCTTTCCCGCCTCCACTCCTCCTGCTTCCATGGCTCCCAGTTTGGACTACCAGCATTGCCCCATGGCCATCGGCGTCTCGTCTCTGCGCCAACTGATCTGCCTCACGTTGCTAAACTGAATTACCCTCCCTCCCCACCTCCACTCCTCCTGCCCCTCTCTTCCCCCTTTCCTCCTGTGGTTCCCATATTCCCCAGTCTGGACTATCAGCACCGTCCCATGGCCATTGGAGTCTCGTCCCTGCGCGGACTCATGGCAGTGCTGCCGGAGAGGGCGCACACGGTGTATTACAGGGACGAGATCGGAAATATCTCCTCCTCGCACCTCCGATACCCGCCCAGAAAGGTGTGCAGTGTGGTCCTGGTGGGCGCTGGTGGGTGGTAGTGGGTGTTAGTGCGGTGCTGGTGGGTGGTGGGGGCTTCATGGCAGTGCTGCTGGAGAGGGTCCACACGGTGTATTACAGGGACGAGATCGGGAATATCTTCTCCTCACACCTCCGCTACCCGCCCAGAAAGGTGTGCAGTGCGGTGCTGATGGGTGCTGGTGGGTGCTAGTTGGTGCTGGTGGGCGCTGGTGGGTGTTAGTGCGGTTTTAGTGGGTGAAGGGGGGCTCATGGCTGTGCTACCGGAGAGGGCCGCGGTGTATTACAGGGATGAGATTGGGAATGTCTTCTACGCGCCCAGAAAGGTGTGCAGTTCGGGTGCTGGTGGGTGCTGATGGGTGCTGATGGGTGCTGCTGCTGTTCCGATTTTCTCTTCCCATATCCACTCTCCACAAATCCTTCTCAACCCTTTTCCTTACCCACTCGAACGCCTTACCTGTACTCCCTTGTGAAAAATCCAATAAGTGATTCCCATGTTCATCCCTCACATCCCTTCCCGTCTCTATCCTTACCCACTTGCAGGCCTAACCCCCAACCCCACCCACTCGCATACCAACCCCCAACCTCCGTCCCTCTTTCGAACCTCCTCCCCCGAACCTCAGGCCGAGCTGGAGATCGAGCCTCGGTACCCGCTCCTGGGCGGGTGGTCCGTGACGTTCCGGGTGGGGTACAGCGTGCCTCTGGGCGACCTGGTCTCCATCAGCACAGACGGCACTCGCATGCTCAACGCCACCCTCGGCAGCCCCTTTGCTGACGTGCCCGTCAAGCACCTCACTGTCAAGGTGAGCGCCTGGGAGGGGAAACAGGGCGGGAAGAACAGGGAAGGGGCAGCAGGGGTGGGGCCGCAGGGGAGGGCAGCAAGGAAGTGGGGACATCAGGGGAGGAGGTGTTGGGTGGGAGGAGAGGCGTTCCGAGTGGGGCAGAGCTTTTGCGCCAAAGCTCATGCCTTATGTCCTCCGTCATCTCCCTTCCTTGTGTACGTCGTCCTCCTCCCTGCCTCCCAAAGGGCGGCATCCCTGCAGGTTATGCTTATGCCCTCTTTCGCCTCCATTTCATGTGCTCTTACTTCCTCCATCCCTCCTCCCCGCCTTCCCTCCCCGCCTTCCCTCCCTGCCTTCCCGCCTGCCTTCCTGCCCTCCCGCCCCTCCCGTTTTCATCCATATTCGTTTCTAACACCAGGTGGTGCTTCCGGAGGGTTCATATGGCATTTCTGCGGATGTGCCCTTCCCAGTGGGCAAGAGCACCGAGGTGAGAGCCATGAGTGTGATAAGCATGGGGGCATTGGGGCATTGGAGTATGGGGGTGTGGGGGTTGGCAGGTATGGGGGCATGCGCGTGAGAGGAGGGTTTATTTGGCATTCTTTGCGGATGTGCCCTTCCCAGTGGGCAAGAGGACCGAGGTGAGAGCAGGGGGTGTGAGAAGGTAGGGGAAGGTGAAGGGGGGGATAGGTCAAGGTAGGTGACCATGAAGGAACGGACAGGTGCAGCATGGGTATGGGGGCTTAGGAGTGGTGCTGGTTTATTGTAATGGCTCGCTGATTGTTTCTCATCCAATTCTGTTCCTCCCATCCGTCTCCATGCCTCCCCATCTCTTCCCATCCCTTTCCATCCCTTCTCACTGTCTCCAGACCAAGTACTCATACCTGGATACTGTGGGCCGCCCTGTTGTGGTGCTGGATAAGAGGGACGTGGTGCCAGAGCAGGGGATCATGCACTTCCAGGTGGGTGAGAAACTCCAAACAGAACGCCACCTTGCAATGGCTACTAGGTCACCATCTAGTGACCACATAAACCATCCCAATGTGCCGTCTCGATAAGAGGGATGTTGTACCCGAGCAGGGGATCATGCACTTCCAGGTGCGGTAGAAAGAGATTGTTATAGACTTTTGAGGCGCCTCAAAGGTAGAAAGAGATTGTTATAGACTTTTGAGGCGCCTCAAAGGTAGAAAGAGATTGTTATAGACTTTTGAGGCGCCTCAAAGGTAGAAAGAGATTGTTATAGACTTTTGAGGCGCCTCAAAGGTAGAAAGAGATTGTTATAGACTTTTGAGGCGCCTCAAAGGTAGAAAGAGATTGTTATAGACTTTTGAGGCGCCTCAAAGGTAGAAAGAGATTGTTATAGACTTTTGAGGCGCCTCAAAGGTAGAAAGAGATTGTTATAGACTTTTGAGGCGCCTCAAAGGTAGAAAGAGATTGTTATAGTGGCTGTTAGGTCGTCTCCTATCACCCAGGTCAGTCGCCCTGTTGTGGTGCTGGATAAGAGGGACGTGGTGCCGAAGCAGGGGATCATGCACTTCCAGGTGGGTGTGAAGCGGTCAAACACAATGCTTCTCCCAGTGTCCGCATCACGTGTCCGCCAACATGCCATGTCGATAAGAGGGATGTGGTGCCGGAGCAGGGGATCATGCACTTCCAGGTGGGTTTCAAACTTTAGATAATATGCTTAGTTTCAGTGTTCCACGCCTTCTTCCTCCTCTTCCTCCTCTTCCTCCTTTTCCTCCTGTTCCTCCTCATCCTCTTCTTCTCCCTCCTCTTCCTCCTCTTCATCGCATACACCCACTCCGTTCTCACCATCTCCAAAACCGCCCCCCTTTCCCTCCCACCTGCCCTCTCCCCTTCCCTTCCCTTCCCTTCCCTTCCCTTCCCTTCCCTTCCCCGCCCCGCCCTGCCCTGCCCTGCCCTGCCTTGCCCTGGCCCGCTCTGCCCCACCCTGTCCGGCCCTGCTCTGCATTCCCCATTCCCCCCATCAGGTTAAGTACAAGTTCTCAAAGGTGGCTCTTCTCACGGAGCCGCTCCTCCTCATCCTCTTCTTCTTCCTCCTCTTCCTCCTCTTCATCGCCTACACACACTCCGATCTCACCATCTCCAAAACCGCCCCCGCCTACCTTGCCAAGCTTCACCATGAGGAGTTTCTCGATCTCATCCAACGGCTCTCGCGCCTCGTGGCCGATCGTGCGGCCCAGATCGAGTCTCTGGACGCGGGGCTGCTGAAGCTGGGGAGGAGTGGGGATGTGGCGGGGGCGAAGGCGGGGAGGAGGAATGTCGAGACTGAGTTGAAGGAGAGTGGGAGGGAGATTGCTGCTGTGGTGGTCAAGATCGAGGCCCTTTCCAAGGTCCCTGCTGGTCCCCTGCGCACTGTAAGTCCTACTTCTCTTCCTTTTTTTTTAGCTGAGTATTGAGTCGAGTGAAAGTAAGGGGGGGGGGGGGGAGAGGCGGGGAGGAGGGTGGTGGAGGGGGAATTGAAAAAGGGTGGGAGGGAGGTTGCTGCATGTGGGAAAGATCGAGGCTGTTCCGAAGGTCCCAGCTGGGCCCCTGCGCACTGTAAGACTCGCTTCCCTTCCCTCACTCTGCTGAGTTGAAGGAGAGTGGGAGGGAGCTTGCTGCTGTGGTGGGGAAGATTGAGACTCTTTCCAAAATTCCTGCTGGGCCCCTGTGCACTGTACGTGTTCCTCTTAGTTTTACCCATTTCCCCGCTCTTATGCCCCTCACTCAGGTCTTTCAGGCGCAAACGTTGGTTGCAAAGGAAAAGGAGCGCGCTGAGAGGGCTGTGGCGAAGCACACGGTGGCAGTGGAGGCATACGAGAAGAACTCCCCTGCCGAGGACCCACTCTCTTCCTCATTATTCCTCTAACTCTCTTACACTCCTGGCTTTCAGGTGCTAACCTTGGTTGCAAAGGAGAAGGAGCGCGCAGAGAGGGCGGTGGCGAAGCACACGGTGGCGGTGGAGGCATACGAGAAGAAGACCCCTGCCAAGGAGATTGACGCCAAGATTGGCCCGATGCAGCAGCGTTTGGCGGCTCTGAAAGCAGAGATTAAGGAACTTGTGATGGCTCTGGAGGAGTGAAGGGTGTGAAGAAATTGGGGTGAAGGGACGGGGTGAAGGGGTATGGAAAGTTGTGGAGAGAGGTATGGAAAGATTAGCCCGGTTCAGCAGTGACTGGTCTTCAAGCAGTGATGAAGTTGCATTTGGGAAAGTATGCGTCCAAGGTGGACAACTAGCTTATGCTTTTTTTCCCATTGTTTATTCGACCCACTTGTTAAAAGGTACGATTTGTTACTTGTTGCTGATTAAATTGATGTTCTATATAATAGAAAAGGAATTTTCTCTCTATTCCTTACCGCGACCGTCCACATCGCATACAGCAGCAGCCGTTGTTCGCCCGTTATTGCTGACGGGCTTCGCCAGTTTCGCGCGGACTGTTTCACCAAACCTCGCACTGCTGTAGCAGCTTGTCAAAATGTTTTAGTCCTACATTCTGTAGGCTATACTGGGGTAGCCCATAAGGGGCACAACACAATTAGGGTTAGTACTTGTACCCAAATTTTTGCTCAATGCATTCATTATCGTTCAGTATTTTCACACAGCCGAGTCGGCCTACCTACGCTTCGGGACTAGCCCGAACCTCACGCCAGCGTAGCACCAGCTACCGTAGCTCGCACGCACCGCGTTACCGTTTGCACATTTTCGCGTATAAGTATTCGCTCATGCCTTCGCTCATATTTTGTACTCATTGAACACTCTAGTGCAATCCTCGCTACCTCAATTCATTGCACCCGTAACAATCTGGTAAACTTGATTTGGATCAGGTGACACCACCTTTTCTTTATACTGGGATCCGTAGGCATACGCGGGACAACTCAATACCGAGTTGGTCTGCCCACGAAGCACAAAATCCGCAGAATCAGTGAAAGCGGTTATTACGATTTACTGTACATATTTTTGTCGGTGCTGCAAGAGTTAGGTCTTCACAGCTGGTTGCTTGCAACGGGATTGATTCTCGTTGCGCAGCGCCGCATCCTACGTTTCCGTTCCGTACTGCCGAAGCGTTGCGGCTCGGTGACGTTTCAGTCGATTTGTAGGAGAATCTGATCTGATTACGCGGAGCGGATTCGATCCGGAGAAGCTGAATGCGCGGATCGGATTGTGCGGAGCGGAATCAATCCGGGGAAGTTGGGTGCGCGGATCGGGTTTGGGGAGTTTATTGCGCCGCGAGCTGAAGTTCCGACACGCTTTCGCCTTTTTCTCTGGTGTAACCATGGCGTCCGCTGAGCCGCCTTCCGCGGCAGGAACTGCCCGCGCCACCGCGAATCCCGGAGCCGCAGAAACGGCGTCGGCTAGCCAATACACGGAGTTTAAAGCCCAAACTTGGTACGACGTACAGCGGAACGCGCCCGCGGGTAGTAGTGATCTCCGCGGTGGCGCGGGCGGAGCGGAAGGCGGAGCAGTGGCGGAAGGAGCAGTGGCGGAAGGAGGAGCAGTGGCGGAAGGTTTTTCCGCGGAGGCGGTGCTCCGCCAGGCGGAGCAGCAGGCGGCGGAGCGCAGGCGCGGCGCAAGGCTGCGCGCCGCTCCCCCGGTGTATTTCTTTCCGCGGAGGTCGTGGGGTGTGACTATAGCGAGATACGGCGCGGTTTTAGCGGCGGGATTGGCGGCGGGGATGGCGCTAGAGACGTGGATTCGACAAAAAGTGGCAGGTATGAGATTGCGGGAGTTTAGGGGAGGGGGGGTGACTTTACGGTACAGGGTATAAGGTACAGGGTACAGTGTACAAGGTGTATGGGTGTATGGGTGTATGTATGTATGTATGCATGTATGGGGGAAAGCAGAAAAGGGGAAGGGGACCTGAGGAAGGGGGAGGCGGGAGGGGTTACTGTGGAAGGGGAAGGGGAGAGGGGATAATGTAGAAGGGAGAGGGGATAATGTAGAAGGGAGAGGGGGAAGGGGAGAAAGGGAAGGGGAGCGGGAGGAGGAGAGAGGGTAGAAGGGAAAAAGGGAAATAGGGAGATCAGGGGATTTATAAGAGTATGCCACCAGGACATGTGTCCTTACTCCCCCTCTGCACCCCTCTGTTCCTTGCTGCGTGCCTTGGTCTAGACATTTTGGGTGAGGGAATATGAGCAAATTCAGTAGCAAATGTTTCTATCTGCCCCTCTGTACCGCTCTGCACCGTTTTCTGTTTTCTTTTTGTCCAGAGGATGGCGGCTATGTGATGGGGAAGAAGGGACCAGCAAAGCATTAGTAGGGGCATATATCGTTACACACCTCAGCAAGACCAATGCAACACAGCAGAATTAGTCATTTCTGGAGGATTTTGTCAACCTCAAGATAACTACCACGTTCAAGAATCTCAAGAGTGATGCATAGCGGAATGTGGATGGGAGATACAAATGCTAAACCTAGAAAGGGTTTCCCTACAGCCCTACTCACTATAGCCTATCAATATAATGTATAACATTCGACACACCCCCAATGGCGAAGTGAGGGGCAGGCCCCTGGAAGTCAGAGAAATTTATCTGATTTGGGTAAAAAACTGTGTTATTTCAGCCTTTTTCCAAAGTGAACTCTGAAAGTTCATATTTTTCATGGCCCCAACTCTGAAGTTTCAGCTTTTTTCTAGGGCTTTGAAAAATCAGATTTTTTTTCTGAAGTGTACTCTGATCCTTCATACCGTACAAACGCGTACAGACTCTGATTCAATGTACCTGCGTTGGGACAACAGTCACTATTTTTAGAGCGACGCCGCCTTGCGGCGCGGTATTCGCCTTGTAAGCACCAGCTTGCATCTTTTGCCAACCCATCAAGGTGTCCCACAGTACCCAGAGTGCTGCATTTGGCAGCCACGAATCACTACACACAGCAGTGCACGGCAGCAGTGCCTCGCCGTTACCGTGCATGCTAGGCAACCGCCCACCCGCCAGGAGCTGGTGAGCGTCAAAGATACATCGTCCTTGAGGCTTTCTTTTACCCCTCGGGCCCCGTGCTTCACCTCATTGTCTTCAATGCTTGTTTGAGCGCTTGCTACCACACCTGTGCTTGTTCGGCACTACCGTATCCTGACCCCGCCATGGCTGTTCGGGAAGATGCCCCCGTTGCCGATGAAACGCCCCGTTCCACGCTTGTTAATAACTCGGCGCCGGAGAAGCCTGCGCCCTAAGTCTCGGATGCCACTGATGCTATCGAAGAGACAATCGACGCCCGACTCAAGCAGACGTCGTTAAACTTGGCACAGCACATCGAAGATATCTACGAGGATGTTGTTGTGAAGTGCAAGTCACTGTTGTTCACTCGTTTTCCTTGGCTTCTACAAACAAAAACCACCACTGGGTTGCCTGTGTTTCAGTGCAGAGTTTGTTCAGTCCATGTTGGCGACGAAGGCAAATGCGGGAGGCGCGGGAAAAGTGCCATTCACGTGCAGATCCAGTCATGTCGTAAACACGACAGCAACCAGAAGCACCAACTGGCAATGGCGAAGTTCACCGCGCTTGTCGAGTACGGGACGTGGCAGCCTCTGACCGACCAACACCAAGCTACCGTACTACCTACATAGGAGATCATGCACAGGGCCTCAGATTGGTTTTGGGGCACCCTGATCACTCAGTGTTCTTTGAGGACTAACACTGATTTTCAGTGTCATCATCTAAAAAACACTGATTTTTCAGTGTTCACAAAAGAATTACACTGATCAATCAGTGTTCTAAATAACATAAACACTGATTTCCTTTGCTAGTATGGGGAATTATGATAGCATCGAGTATGGTTTGCTCAGCACACCACACCAGCACCACGATGCCAGCATTGGAGGGAAACACGTACCTCTGGCTTTGTGTGCTGCGAGGCCAAATCAGTCAAGAGGGTACAGGTTATTAGTGGCAACCAATCAGAACTTGAGAAGTTTACCACCGGGCACGAAGGATGCCATGTGCAGCAAAACAGCTGGCGGTACTGTAGGAGCTTGACAGGCGAAGTAGCAGGTCATGGCGCAAATCACAGGATGAACTCCCTACAACACTTGGGCCAATCAGATTGCGCCGTTTCTAGTTTCAGGGTCGAACTCGATGCAACACTGACTCGTCAGTGTCCTCAAACACAAAACACTGAAAAAACAGAGTTACACATAAAAAAACACTGAAACATCAGGGTCGTTAAAAAAAAAAGGCTGATACATCCGGGTCACGATAAAAAACGAGGGTCAAACTTCAGGAATTCATGGTAAAAATCCTGACTTCTGAGGCCCTGATCATGCATCTGATAACGATAATGGTGCATTTGTAAACATCATGAGACAACCAATGCCAGAACTTGTAGACACCATCAGAATTTTCGCTTGCATCAACTCTGAATTATCATACTTTTTTTTTATGTACTTGGAATTTTCAGTTTTTTTGTGTGTACCAAGTCGGATTGATCAGACTAAAACTGTGTACCAAGTCTGATGAATCAGACAGGCTAAAAACGAATCTGAGGGCCTGGTGAGGGGCATCAAAACAAGCAAAGGAAATAAAGGGTCAAAAGACCAGTCAGGAGAAACAACAAGGCAACGCTCAGGGTGGATCTCAATATCACCCCACATTCCGAGCACAAGCAAACGGCCACAAAGCCAGTTCAAGAGTTCACAAATGTATATAGATGCAAGGACAAGCAGAGCAAGCAGCAAGAAAGAATGCTACATCAACCTAGCACCAGTGTGAACAAGGCCTAGCTGCAGACAGAATCTGTGGTGGTCACTAGGCGCTAGGGCCTCGGTGAAGATGTCTGCAGTGTTGGCCTCTGATGCCACAAAGTCCAAGCGTGCCTGGCCGCGCCGCTGCAACTCTTGCATGAGAAAGTACCTCACATCAATGTGCTTCACTCTGCTCTCCAGTCAAGGCTCTTGACACAGGAGGATCATGGCCTTGTCGTCAGCAAACAAGGTCGGTGCAGAGGGAGGCCGCTCACCAAGGTCGGTGAGCAAGAAAGTCAAACAGCGAAGCTCCTGCGCAGCCATGGCACCAGCGTAGATCTCTGCCTCTGCATAGGATGAAAAGACATAGTATACCTCCACGACACAGCTCCAGCGCCCAAGCTGA